TCCTTCTGGCTGTTTTGGGGACGTCTGTTGTGAGCCTCCAGGTAGAGCTGTGTGTTTTCTTGTTCCTATTATTCCTTAATACTCCTTTCTGTCTCTCAGTGGCTGACCTGATCTGAGGAGCCCCGCATGCCGACGAGGAGCCGGTGGCCGCCCCGTGCTTTAGTGGGGAAGCGCTCGGGGGCGGCTTCCAGGTGATGGGGTTTGTGCGAACTCTCCGACAGCCCCCAGGACAAGCGTTTGGTGTTCTTTTCTTACCTGTATGTAAATAATGCATTGCTCTGAGGTTCTTTTTCATTAAATGTTTGAAACTTTTACTATAAACTCTAATTTATGTTTCTTTTCTTTTTTTAAACATTTATTTAAGTAATTTCTACCCCCCAACATGGGTCTCGAACTCACGACCCTGAGGTCAAGAGCCGTCTGCTCCCCTGACTGAGCCGGCCAGGCGCCCCTGTAACTTATGTTTCTCAAGGTGCCCCTGGCTCTTTTGGTAATGTGCAGTGTGATCCAGGCACCCGGTCAGGCCCTTCACCCCATTCTCTGGTCTCGAGCAGTAAACAGAAGTGGTAGCTCTGCCTGCCTCTGCGACGGCCCACACTGGTCAGGATGATAGCGCTGCACACTGTTCACCGGCGATTCTGACTGAAGGCGTTTGCGCTGGTCCGGTTTGTGAAGGGGACGTCCTGTGTGAACTCCTGTCCCTGAGAGACGGCACAGGGGCCCAGAGGCAGTGCATGGGGGCACCTCCGCACCGGCAGCAGAGACCGTGACGCCACAGCCCCGGCCACGTGCACCCACACTGTCCCTAGCCAGGACGCGGCAGCCGGCCCCAGTGCCGGACCCCGTTTCCTGTGGACGGGAGGGAGGGAATTTGGAGGTGGAAGAGCAGAGGCCGCAAATACTTGTCCCCAGCTTGGCCTTGGGTTTGTGCACCAGGTGCCGAGACAAGATGGGAGCTCTGGGTGAATCCTGGAAGGTCACCGGCCTTGAGCTGGTCACCGGCCTTGAGCTGTTCCGGCTTCAGAAGCACCGCAGGTTAGGGCGGAGGAGGAACGGGTGCCCACGGAGAAGAGATGGCCGGAAGCCAACCCAACCGCAAGGTGAGACGCTTGGGGAGCTGAACTCAAATGCTGTCCAGGAAAGAGAGCAGTTAGAAAAAGCATGAAAGCCGTTCACCCTCGCAGGTGACTGGGATGTGATCCGTGGCTATCAGAGGTTTCATAACCACCCTAAGTGTTGCAGGGGCGTGGGAACTCTTCATGGTGGTGGTGTCGATAGGTACGGACTTTCTGGAAAGCAGCCTGGCTCTGAGCAGTGGGAGCAATTAAAATTGAGTAATTTTGCCTCGGGCAGTAGTCTGGAATGTAGACTGCACAAGTGCGTTCCCCACAGTGCGCTGCGGCACTGGGAAGGGGAGTGAGTGGTTGGCGCCGGGGGCTTTGTGGGCGAGCGCTGATATTTGCATCGGTATGAGCGGGTGGGGGTTGTTGGGAACGCAGCTGGCATCGGCCCAGATGGGTTTAGCTGTGTCCCTTGGCAACTGAGCATCAGGGAAGCAAGAGGGCTGGTGGGCCCCGCTACAGATGTTCAGACCATTCAGCATTCCATGTGGAATATTCAAGTATTCAGTAGCTATTTTTAGCGGTTAATAGCTAGAAAGCGGAAATAACCCAAATATCCATCCCCTGGGAGGTGTGGTAAGTGCCCACGGAGGAGCTGGCTGCTGGCACCTGCCGCGGCTGGGGGAGCCCGCCAGGCGCAGGAGGCCACGTGCTGTGTGATGCCGCTTCTGTGAAATGTCCCAGGCGGGTGACTAGACAGCTAACAAGCGGGTGGTGATTTCCAGAGGCTGGGGAGGGCGGCCGGGGAGTGCGTGCTCTGGGGCAGTGTTCCGGGGGGCAGGAGGGCGGGATGAAAACGTTGAGTTGGACCGTGGTAATGGTTGTGTGACTCTGAATGGCGTATCGCTGGGTAACGTGTTTGAAAGGTGGTGAGTTGTGTGTGCGCGTGGCTCAGTGGAAGATCGGGGACGGAGTCTGGCATCCTCCCCGAATGATGCTTGCACGGGCGCGAGCAGGGTGAAGTCCGTTGTTCACAGATCGTTAGGTTGGGCTGTAAAACGACTGGGCTGCACACTGTTACAGGAAGTCAGGCGCAAATAAGCGAAGAGTGACGTGACGGGAACACCGGCCTCGGTAGCCTGCCAACCGACGGAGCCTGGAGCGGCGAGTGCGGCATGGACCGAGGCTTTGCTGCCTGAGTGTTACCAGGGGCGTAAGTGAAAAGGCAGGTCATCAGAAACAATGTGACAGTCCTCAGTGTCCCCGCACCTCGAGCAGAGCGTCAGACACTGGCAGAAGCCGACTGAACTGCATGGAGAGATCGATGAGCCCACAGCGAGGAGTTGCTGTCAGTAACCGTGTAGGAGAGAGGCACAATGTCCTCATCTAGCACGTTCAGCATCAGACCGTGGCGCTGGCTGGCGTGGTAAGGCAGCCAAAGGGGAGAAAAGGCATCCGGTTGGAAAGGGAAAGGTCCTTATGCACAGGTGACACGCTCCTTCACGTAGAAGATCCTAAGGAACCTGCAGCAAAGAGCCGGTAACAGTTTAGGAAATGCAGCCATATACAAGGTCAGTATTCAGAACTCACTTGTACTCCTGCATGTCAACGGGGCACACTCGGAGAATGAAATCCGGGGGCTCCGTCAGACGGGAGATAAGTAAGCTCTGTGTACCGAAAGCCACAGCACATCGCGGTGGGAAGTGTCCGTGAGCAAGAGAGGGGCCGTCCTACGGGGGAGTCGGCCTTGTCCGCTGTCGGTTCTCCCCATGCTGTCCTGCAGAGTCCGCTCAGCCCCAGTCACAAAACTGAGACTTGGGCAAAAATTGAGAAGCTGATTCTAAAATTTATTTTTTTTATTTAAAAAAAATATTTATTTATTTATTTGACAGAGATCACAAGTAGGCACAGAGGCAGAGAGAGAGGGGGAAGCAGGCTTCCTGCTGAGCAGAGAGCCCGATGTGGGGCTCGATCTCAGGACCCTGGGATCATGACCCGAGCCGAAGGCAGAGGCTTTAACCCACTGAGCCACCCAGGCGCCCGATTCTAAAATTTATATGGAAATACAAAGGATCTAGCTTAGCGAGAACGATTTTGCGAAATTGAACGAACTGGACAACTTCGAATGCCTTATAGCAAAGAATACTACAGAGGGACGGCAGGACCGGGATGCCACGGGGCCTTGACCATGATACAGAGTCTAGAAAGAGATCACAGATTTACAGTGAGAGGGTTTTCGACAAACGTTCCGAGGCAGTGCCGTGGGGGAAGGATGATGCTTTTAACCGAAGAGACCGGAACACTGGGGTAACCACACGCAGAGAAAAAAAATCCTCAGTTGTTACTTCATACCATGTAGAAAAAGTAGCTTGAGATATAAGGCCTAAAATTACAAAACTTCTGGAAGAGAGCGGGAGAAAAGTCTTATTAGGGACCTTGAGTTTGGCAAAGATTTCTTTAATAGGACGGAAGAAATAATTATAAATTGGACTCTTCAAAATGAAAACCTTCTCTTCCTTGGGCACCGTTGGGAAAGCAAGGTGCACCATGGCCTGGGAGACAGCATTCCGAAGCGCAAACCTGACGGGGGCCTTCAGCAGGAGCCCGCATGCGGGGCTGTTACTCGGGAGGGGCCGTGGTCCCTCGCAGACGCCCAGGTCCTCCTCCCTGGAGCCTGGGACCGTGTCACAATGGATGGCAAGAGGGACGTCGCAGACAGATGTGATTAAAGATTTTGAGACGAGATCATGCTGGACTACCCAAGTGGACCTAAACCAACCACTTGAGCTCTGGAAACCTAATCATATTCTCGACTTCGGTCGGCCGGAGGGGTCTGACGCGCCGACCCACCGTCGCTGGGCTTGGAAGCACTGCGGCCAAGGCAAGCCGCAGCCTCTAGATGTGGTGAAGGACACATGGCTCACATCGGGCGGGAGCCCGAGCCCAGACCTCCAGACCTGTGCGGCCGAGGTCTGCCGGCAGCCTGCACCGGCGAGGAACCGGATTCGGGCCGAGCCTGCGGGGAGGAAGCAGCCTGGAGGGAGACCTTGGCCGCCCTCTCTGCCACCAGCACCGCAACGAGGTGATTCTGCTGTTTTCAGCCACTGAGCTTGTAGTCATTTGTTACGGTAGCAATGGAAAAACTGGATATCCATGATGGGTGTAGAACGTAAGTCAATGACAAGGCCACTCCTCCACATTAAAAAAAGGCCAAAGATTTGAAGAGACGCTTCCCCGGAGAAATTCATGGGTGACAGATCGCCAAAGTCTGCAAAAAGATGCTCGGCATGGCTCGTGGGCCAGCGGACTGGTCCCGGGGCGGCGAGGATGCGGGGCGGCGGGCACTCGGCTGCTGGCGGGAGCGCGGACGGGCGCCAGCACATTGGAGAGCAGTTTGGCAGCTTTTAGAACGTGAGTCACACCCGCCCCCGTATGACCTGACCGTGCCGCCCGGGGCCTGTGCTCAAGAGAAGTGAGGACCCAGGACCGCTCGGTGCAGCTTTATTCAAACCGGCCCCAGATCGCAACCAGCCCCGAGGCCCACGGTGGCATAACCACTCGGAGGCGAGCAGGGACGTGCAGCATGGGCGAGTCTCAGAGGAATCAGGCTGAGTGATCTCAGCGGGACGTGCGGGATGCTCCCCTTTCCATAAGCTTCTGGAAAACACACTGCAGACTGGTGGTTGCCTGGGATGAGGTGTAGGGGCCCATCTCCCAACCACCCTGCCTCGGACTCCACGCCCAGTGGGACGTTCTCCAGGCCCCTGAGCGGCGCCAGGAAGGTGGCACAGGGCTCTGCTGCTTTGAGAGCTTGGGGCGTGGCACACGTGCAGCTCCCCCCACCCCCAGGGCATCCAGGGGCAGGCTGAGGGCTGCCTCCATGTCCTGGCCCTGAGACACGTCCTTTCTGCCCCGAATCCCAGAAGGACCAGCAGAAGCTTGATCGCAATGACCCCTTTATTAATAATAATTGCACTTAAGGTCAAGGGTTTCCCTGGGTCCTGTGAACCCTCCGGAGTTCCCCTGGCCCACTCTCATCGGACGGGGGACGGGGGGACAGCTCCCCCTGCTGCCGGGGGCATCGCCCAGAAAGCAGGCTACGGTGGCCGCCCAGCCCTGTCCTTTCACCCGGCCAGAGCAGCACAGCCGCCCACGGCGTGACCTCGGGGTGCAGGCACGCCATCCTCGTCTGGAACGCACCTATATTGTCTCGGGCGGGGAGCTGGGGGCAGGCGACGAGCTGGGAGTGGGCGACATCATTCTCATTCCAGTGACAAGCTTCGGAGAGGTAAGCCTTCCAGAACAGCACCGCACACACGAGGCAACCCTGGGGCCACGGCCCATGGGATCTGTGCAGAGAACCGTCAGGCGTGTTGCTGGCCCAGAGCCCCTGGGCCCAGGAGGTAGACACACAGGCAGATCTGGGTTCTTGAGGGAGGGCAGCGCCATGAGACGTGGGGCACGCGCGTCACCCTGAGGCCCACCCACACGTCCTGACCAGGAGGTCAGGCGCTGGGGCCACGGAGAAACTGGTCTCCTCCCGCACAGGCCGGCTCACCGCCGGCCCGGGTCACGACCAGCTCACGACAAACTGCTGTCCCACCAGCAGGGACACGGGGATGTCCAGGGTCTGGGGAAAAATAAGAAATAAAAATTGAGCGGGGCGCCTGGGGGGCTCAGATCATGATCCAAGGGCCCTGGATCAAGTCCTGCATCGGGCTCCCTGCTCAGTGGGAAGCCTGCTTCTCCCTCTCCCCCTCCTTCTCCTCCTGCTTGTGCTCTTTCCCTCTTTCTCAAATAAATAAAATCTTTAAAAAAAAAAAAAAGTAAAAACTGACCACCAGACAGGTGCCATCAGAGGGGAGGCCCCGAGCTCTGGCACACGGGACCCCGGGCTGGGGTGAGTGGCGTGCTCAGGGCCGGCCCCAGCCCCGGGGGCTTCTGGCTCTGTGCCTCCCCAGCTGAGTTCGGAGGACGGTGTCCTCTGTGTTGGCCGCCCCAGCTTTGGAAGCCGGCTGGCATTTAAACATGCCCCACGCGTCACCGTCTGTGTAGACACCGGAGGAGCAAAGATCCAGGGTGCACGGGGCCTGTCCTTCCCCTCCTTCCCTCACCCTTGTAAGGCCCAGCTCGGACGGCACCAGGTCCCAGAGGTCCTTGGCACCTCCTGCCCCCTCGACCGTCCTGGGGGACAAGCCCTCTGACCCCAGCTGTGGGCCCTCTTGCCTTGGTGTCGGGGCTGTAGTTGAAGTTGGAGACAGGGACGCCATTGCAGAGGACCTGACTGGGGGCCACGGCCACCCCCAGGATGGTCACCCTCCTCAGCGGCAGGCCGGCCCCCTCGCTAGTCACATGCACCAGCTCACTCACGATGGTGCTCTGGCGGAACGGGGAGACAGAAGCGAGGTGTCAGCGGATGGCCCAGGAAGCCCCACCAGCGGGGGTCAGGGGGGAGGGGGCCTCTGGGCAAACCCTCAGGACACCAGCAGGTGCGTGAGGACTGGCTCAGGGCGGCTGGCCCACAGGCCCTGCTCCCTTCACGAGGCTGACCCGGGGACGGGGGTCCCCACGACGCCCACCAGCTCCAGCAGGTCCTGGGACTCACATTCCTAGCCAGGAAGATGACCTCCGTGTAGTCCCCACGCTCCAGCACCCCCAGACTCTCCCCGTCATCCCAGAACAGCTCCCCTCGGGCCTCCCCGTTCACGGTCAGGGCGGCGAGCAGGGCCATGGGCTGCTTCCGGGACTCCGTGGTTGTGAGGCCAGGGCCCTGGAAAAGTGGGTGGCGCATGTCACCATCTCAAGCCCGGCAGAGGCCTCCAGAGTCAGAACGGGAAGGACGCTGGGCTGGGACAAGTCCGTGCTGCAAGGAGGCAGGACCCACAGGACAGCCTACACCCAAGGGGCTGGGGCGCCTGTCCTGACCCCTCTGGCCAGGGCAGACACCTTCGAGGACACGAGCAGCCCACGGAGGCTTGCACGCTGCTTCCCAAGGAGGGGACACGAGGCAGGATTCCCCGCCTCCCTCCGGGAACAGCATGTCAGCTCATCTTCAACCCTTAGTTGCTGTCCTCTCTGCCTGAGGTTTAGGGATGGACCCTCTCCCGAAGGGGCAGCGTGGGGTCCAGGCAGCCCCAGAGCTGGGCGGACAGGCTCGGGGGCCCGGCCCCGGTACCTGCAGGGGGACGATGTGCCCAGCCCGCAGATGCACGTTGATGGTGTCCAGTGGGGCTGGGAGTGTCACCCACTGCCCCTTGCTGCGGATGGCGGACATGAGGGGAGCCCGAGGAGGACGTGGGGAGCTGCCGAAGGCCTCTCCTGGCACCTGAAGGGAGATGGCGTGTCATGAGTCAGGACAGTGCCGGAGCCCCGGTGACGTCACTAAGAGCCTGACGCAGGCTTGGGGCGGGCGCAGGACTCTGGAGTGGGAGAACTGGAGACCAGGGCCACTCAGGCCTCAGTCTTCTCATCTGGAAAATGGGTCACTGCAAAGCCTGGGTGCGAAAATGCACGAGGAGGCCCTCATGCAGCCGGGTCCCCACACACATGCTCCCTTCTGCCCTCTGGCCCACCCCCCCAGGCCCGGGAGGAGGGACATCTTTGGTCCCCAGGACTCACCATCTGCAGGTTGTACCATGTGCCAAGGGGGAAGTAGCCTGTCACTTGGACCTTCCCGGCCTCAAGCACGGGTGTGATGAGCAGAGCCGCCCCCCACAGGAGCTGGCGGTCCACGGTCCATGTGCGCGGGTCCTCGGGGAACCTTCAAACACGAGAGGTGGGCGCATGGGCCTGGTGACCTCAGCATGTTCAGGAGGCCCTCAGGGAATCACAAGGAGCCAGAGGACTCCAGGCGGGACGGGGCGAGGCTGGTCCCAGCCCCCGGAGCTCGGCGCGGGAGGCAAACAGGCCCTCTCCCTGGCCACACACTTGGGGCAGGGCACCATCTGTGGCCCCAGTGTGATAAACTTCCTGGCCACTGGTCTGCTGCTGGCTTGTCCTCGTCCCACCAACCAGTGCGTTTTCCCTGTCAGTTTGGGACACTGATGACCCCAGTGTGTTTGCCTTCGCGATTCCGCGATGAGGGAAGTCATAATGGTCTCAGTTTCTGTTCGGAGAAGTAGAACTTTTCTTCCTAAATTCAACCCCCTCCTCCAGCCAGGGGGGACGTTTGCTTCTGTGTCCCATGGAACTTCCTAGAGCTTCAGTTTCGATGTCTAAGGGTGTAACCCACCTGGAACTTGCATTTGCACAGCGTGAGAGGAAAATGGATTTTTGCAAAGAGCTAACGGATCTGTACCACATGGGACTGCTCTGACCCACGGGCCGGACACAGTCTTTTCCTGCGGGCACCTTTGACACATCTGAGTCCTACTTGGGGGCATCAGTTGGGTTTTTTCCAAGGTCCTGTTCCCCGTAAGCCAACCCTGGGATGGCTTTACAACTTGCCTTATTGTCCGGTTGGCCTGGTCTGGACTTGGGTGTCCCTCACCCTGGGTTTTTAGGAACCTGCACCGTCCCCAGCCCTGAGCTGCAATCTCACGGGTGGGAAGTGGGGTGCAAAGGGCCCCCAGTAGGGAGGGCCTGGGTTTCCTCCCTGCCTCCCTCGGTCTGGGGATAACACCCCCGTCCAGCAGGATGGGGGTCCTGCTGGCCACTAGGCTGGTAGTCAGCTTGTGGGCCCTCTCTCCCCGACCCCAGGCACTCACTCTAGGAAGAGGGGCCGGGCCACGGTCTCGCCCAGGACATGGGCCCGGTGGAAGAGCGAGTACAGGTAGGGCAGGAGTGCGTAGCGCAGGCTGAGGGCCTTCCGCATGGCTTCCTGCGCCGTCTTGCTGAACCTGTAGGGCTCCTGAGGCTGCAGCAGGGGAGGGGAGGGGAGGGGAGGGGAGGGTGGCGTCTGGCTCTCAGGCCTCGAAGTCCCTGCCTCTCCCGCGGGAGACTCAGCCTGCTGGCATGGATGCCAGACCGCGCTGCTACGTCTGCGGCGGGACCCCCAGGGCGGAACCCGGCCCGGCCCGCCGGGCCCCTACCAGGCTGTTGAGGTCGTTATGATTCCGCATGAACGGGTAGAAGGCCCCCAGCTGGGTCCAGCGCACACACAGCTCCTCCGAGGTGTTGCCCAGGAAGCCACAGACGTCAGCCCCCACCAGCGGCACCCCCAGCAGATTGAACAGCAGGATTTCTGGGGGGGCAGAGCCAGACTGGGGCTTACCCCCCGCCCCCGCCCCACCGTTCAGTACGGCGCTGGCCCTGGCCTCTTCCACTGGTGGTCAGCAGAAGGGGGTCCCTCGCAGACTGCCTGCTGACATCTGGGGTGGGCAGAGCGGCCCATTAGGGTGGAAGTGTGTCCCCACAAAAGGGGTGCTCGAGTCCTAACCCTCTGTGCTGAGGTGACCTTATTTGGAAAGGGGCTCTTGGTGGCGACCATTCAGTCAAGGTCACCGGAAGTCCTGACCCAGTACACCTGGTGACCGCGTGAGAGGAAGCCCAGACCGTGATGACACATACGGGGCAGATGGCCAAGCAAGAACGGAGGCAGAGACAGCCCCCCATGAAGGACACCAAGGGCTGCCGGCCACTCCCAGGAGCTGGAGGACACGAGGAAGGGCTCTCCGCTCCGATGCCGTGAGTTGGACCACGAGCATCCAGGGCTGGGGGAGCCCACGTTTCTGGGCCATCAGCAGCCAGTGTGAGCTGGTGTGTGCGGCCGGGAGGTCAGCGAGCCCCCGAGCTGCTGAAGGGTCAGGTGGCTGCGGGTCCTATCAGCTGGGGCGCACCCGCCACTGTTCAGCAGGACCAGGCTGCTCTGGGCCCTCCCTCTCCTCAGAGTCTCCTCGGGGACCGGCAGCCAAAGGGCAGACCCGACCCAGCCTAGGGCCTGGCTTGCAACAGGTCCCAGGACCAACGTCACCTCTGCCATGGAATGATCAGTGCCCACGAGCGCTACAGCCCGAGAACGAGGGGTGGGCGCAGGGCCAGGAACCTGCTCCAAGGGGCTTCAGAGACTGGCCTGCAGGGGCTTGGGCCCTGGTGAGCTGTGCCTGCCCCAGGGTGACATCAGAGCCGGTAGCATTTGTGGGCAGAGCCGGACGGTGCCTTCTGGAAGGAGGAATGGCTCCTCCTCCAAGAGCTCACCTCGCAGGTCTTCCCCATGGCCCAAAGGTCTGCAGACGCACCCCGCACCGCCGCAGGCCGGCCACCACCAGAGCACTCCCAGGCTGGGAGGTTGCTGGAGGCCCAGCAGTGCCAGGTGCTGACCCAGGGACGGCACCCCGGCCCCTTCTCTCTGCCCAGCACGTGTCTGCAGCATCAGAGCTGTTGAGAACTAAAGTCAAACTCTCCTCCATGGGTGGGGTGGGCGGCACCCGCAGGCTGGGCTCAGGTCGCCAGAAGGGACATCTTGAGAGGACGGAATCTGACTGCTTCGCCAGCAGTGGCTGGCGTAAGGCGCGATGGGGATGCTTGGAAACTAGATCATGGCCTGCCAGAGCGGCACAGGGCACAAGCAGCCGATCCGCACGGGTGAGCCCCTGCACGGGGGCACGGGGCACAGGCCACAGGGCAGCCGATCCGCACGGGTGAGCCCCTGCACGGGGGCACGGGGCACAGGCCACAGGGCAGCCGATCCGCACGGGTGAGCCCCTGCACGGGGGCACGGGGCACAGCGCCACAGGGCAGCCGATCCGCACGGGTGAGCCCCTGCACGGGGGCACAGGGCACAGCGCCACAGGGCAGCCGATCCGCACGGGTGAGCCCCCTGCACGGGGGCACGGGGCACAGGGGCACAGGGGCCTGTAGGTCTCTCGCCCCACGTGCGCCAGCAGCGTCTCGCTGAGCTGAGCTGGGGCCGGCACTCCGTTCTGAGCTGCTGCTGCAGACAGGGGCTCTCACCTGGCACGGAGTAGGACAGCTGCTCCCAGCTGCTCCACACATCCCCCGTCCAGTGGCCGGCGTATCGGCCGTGGCCGGCGAAGGTTGAGCGGGAGATCACAAAGGGCCGCGTCCCCCGAGCCTTCACGAGGGCCCTGCGCAGAGCAGGGAGACAGGGCAGTGAGGAGCAGGGCTGCCCGGGAGCCCCGGTGTGACCCCGCGCCTCATGTGGGGGTGCAGGAGGGAGGCAGAGCGGGGAGCGAGCCGCTGAAAGGGCCAAGGCCAGGAGGGCGGGGGTCTGGCCCAAGCCGCTGGGCTGCCCTGCAAGGTGAGCGTGTCACAGGGAGGACAGGTGTCCCTCCAGGCTCCCGCTGGGTCTCTGTGTGCTCGCCAGCAGGCCCTCCTCCAGGGCGCGGGGCAGCCGTGAGCACGGCCCTCACCTGTGGGACGCCAGGGCTTCCGTGAGGCCGTACAGATTATGCAGGTTGTAGTGCGTGGAGAGGAACTGGCGGCTGGAGGCACAGATGGTGGCAGCCCGCAGGGTCCCGCCGACCACCCCTGGAAGAGAGGCAGGCCGTCTCTGTCTGTGGAGCCTCCGCCTGGCCCGCTGGTGCCCCCACGTCACAGGAGCCCCCTCGAAAGGGGGAGTATCTCCCCCCTTCCAAGGACAGGGAGAGGGGGAGGCTGAGGCCGACCTTTGCAGACCGCAGACTTCACGCCCACCTGCTCTTGACGCATTTCTGGTCTCTCCCCGTTCCTGTCCCTGAGCCTGAGACACCTTCCCTCTGGAGGGCCCCGGCCAGCAGCGGGTGCCCCGGTCCGCACTGCCTGGCTGATGTCTCCCCAGCCTGACCTTCCGCCCGGGGCTGCCCTCCCCTTCTCATGGTGGCTGTGCCATCGGCTCCTCGGAAAGGAAGGCAGCACGTGGGGACGGGAAGGAGAACTCACCTGGCACGTAGGGCGGGTTCTCCAGCTCGTTGTCAGGGCAACCATCCACAGAGCCCTTCACGAAGTTGGACGGCTCGTTCATGTCCTGCAAAAGAGGCCCTGGCGGTGGGCGCCCTGCCCTGGGCAGACGGCAGGGCCAGTCCCACAGCCCTCGGGACACTCACGATCCACATGCCGTCGAAGGGCACCTGGGCGTGGAACTCGGACACCATGTCCTGCCACCAGTCCAAAGCCTCGGGGCTGGTGAAGTCGGGGAAGGCGGTGAACCCGGGCCACACCTGCAGGAGAGGCCAGAGGGGAGACCAGCCCCCCAGCGCTACAGCCTTGCTCGTCTGCCTGGGGGTGGGAGGGCTGTGGAGGTGAGGGGCGGTGGCGGTAGGGGTCATGGGGGGGGACACTCAGCTGAGACCTCACTTTCAGACAAGGGCCCCGGGACCGAGTCACGGACCTCTGCACCCCCGACGGCCTCCCCAGCCTCCCCTCAGCGGGGAACCCCTTCCCTTGGTTAAGGGCACGCCCCGGAACAGGAAGCTGGGGGCTCTGCCAGGCGCCTTATGGGAAGAGCTGGGAAGCCCCCAGGGGCTGAGGACACAGAGACCCCTGCCGAGGGTCTGTAGAGCTCATGCCTGGGCTGGGCCCAGCTGCCCACAAAGTCAAGGGCCCCTGATGGAAGGATTTGAGGTGGCATCAATCCACAGCCCCCGTCACTTCCAGCTGTGACCCTCCCCCTACCTGCCCTACACTGTCTCATTGGACAGCATGATTTCTTGAATCCTATCCTCTTCCCAACAGTGAGCCCCCTGCTCCCCCTGGCTGGGCCTCGTGCTTTCTCACCCCGGACCCCCGGTGGCCCCCACCCTACCTTCCCAATCAGAGGCTGCCCCGTCTCATTGGTGATGAAAACCTTCCTCCGCAGACCCTCGTCGTAGGGTCGGTAGCTACCGGGGGGACCTGAGCTGCTGATGGCAGGGTCCTGAGCGGGGTCAGAGGAGAAGGAAATGCCCAAAGCCAGGCACCAGTTACTGGGGAAATGGGAAAATGCTCCCGATACATCATTAGAAAGAACAGAGGCAGGAGGGGGCGTGCGTGCTGATGCACACGTCTGGGGAGAGACTGGCCTGCGGGGCCCCTAGCATGCACGTCTGGGCTCTGCTTTACAGGTTCTCGGGTTTCAGAATAAGAGAAGGTCCACATCCGCCCTCCCTGCCCTGAGCGGCCACAGATGCTGGCTGCGCTCCGAGGGTTGAACTGAGGGAAACGGCCAGTGTCAGCATGATTCCGACCTCCGGGCAGACCAGATCCCTCCACCGTGGGGTGTCCGCTGTGCAGCCCCTTGGCCTCAGCGCCCCCTCCCCATCTCCTCCAGCCATGCAGTTGGACGCTCGGCCGCGAGAACTGGCCCCAGGAGTGCGGGGCCCTTCAGAGCCCGGCCCTGCGCCCGGCCCCCCCTTTCCGGAGAGGCAGCCCCCATGTGGCACGGGACAGGAGGGCCACTCACCACGATCATCACGTACCGCCGGCCACCCTGGTGCAGCTCCCGCACCATGGCCGGGAAGTCCGCGAAGCCGTCCATGTTGAAGGTGAAGTCCCTCCTGGCGTCCATGTAGTCCAGGTCATTCCACTGGGTGTCCTGCAGCCAGCACAGGGTCCGCTACAGCCGGCCTGGGGGCCTGTGTCCCGGCCCAGCGCCCCTGAGCACGCCCTCCCAGCACTCACCAGGGGGAAGCGGGCCCTGGTCATGTTCTCTACCACCTGGCGGGTGACGGCGGTGGAGGAGTAGCCCCAGCGGCAGAGGTGGAAGCCCAGGCCCCAGTAGGGCGGCATGAATGGGTAGCCTGTGGTCCAGCGGGATGGGGGAGGCTCCGTGAGCAGGCAGGCAGCGGGGGAGGGGTGGAGGGACCTGAGGGAGCTGGGGGGACAGGAGGGATGGGGGGTGCGGGGCCGCGGAACAGGCCTACCCACGATTTCCAGGTACTGCTGCACCACGCTCTTGGGCTCAGGGCCCAGGAAGATGTACACGTCCAGGATCCCACCTGTCGACCTCCAGCTGAGGGCCGGGCTCGGCTGCAGGACCACGTCTGGGGGAGGCAGCCCTGGGGCTCAGGAACAAACACCCGCGCCGCCTTCCCCCGATCCCCGCCTCCACGGCACCTTGAAGAGGGGTCACATCCCACCAGGGAAGCTGGGAGCAGCCTGCTTGGGGCCTGGGGACAGTTCCCCTGAGCCTGACTCCTTTGAGAGCCTGGAGCCGAACAGACCCCAGGACTCCCCTTTCCGGCCTCTGCTCAGAGCAGGGGTCCCAGAGTGCATCTTGGGGGTACCTAAGGGCGAAGCTGGCAGAAGCCACGGCCCACTGGCCTCATTTCTTGGGGAGGCAAGGCCCAAGGCCCTCCACACGGCCCCAGTCCTCGACCGCTAGCAGGTCTGGACAGGTGCAGACAGCCCCGTGCTCACCCCCTGAAGGCGGGGGTGCAGCCACACAGAGGGAAGCCGCCGGCCTGGGGGCTCAGAGGGAGCGCTGGCTGCGGGACACGGGGACTGGGTGCCCACCTGCTTACCCATGGCGTTGCTGTTCAGCAGAAAGACCCCGTGAGCTGACCCGCCGTCCTCCAGCACCAGGTAGAAAGGGTGGGACCCATACAGGTTCACGTTGGGCTGGGCGTGTGGACACAGCTCGTTAGCGCCCTCCCCCACGCGGTGCCTCCAGTCCCCGCCTCGCCACCCCCTTTACCGCGGGGGCGATGTCCCGGTTCCAGAGGGTGATCTTGGTCCAGCTGGTCCTGAGCATTAGGGAGCCGAGACGCTCGGCAAGGCCCACGATGTGCTGGGACGGCAGGGAGGTGGACAGTTGCAGAAACTGGTCGGCGAAGAACAGGGGCGCCACCGTCGTGTTCAGCCTGCCAGGAAGAGCCCAGCAGCCTTGGCATCCTAGGTGGCCAGGTGACCAGAGAGACCCCTGGTGGCCCCTGAGGAGGGCTGGAGAGGCCTGGCCACGCTGTGACACACTAATCCTGGGACAGAAGCAGCCACGGGAGGCCCAGCGACCCAGGGGACCTGACCCAGGTGTGGAGAGTTCCCCCCCACACTACCTGGCTCTACCCACGTTGCCCCAGGCGGGCATCCAGAAGGGAACAGCTCCATAAGCCCTGGCTGCTAGCCGGTGCTGGGCAAGGGCTGCCCGAACCCTTCCAGTCCTTGAGGTGGCCTCAAGATCCTTCTGCAAGGACCAAATCTACTCCCAGACCCTGGCCACGTCCTTCCCCAGAGCCCATGGAGCTGTCCACCCAGGGGAGGGCAGGACCCCCTGAGGTGGCACAGTGTCTGGACAAGGCAAGAACCACAGATGGGGCACGAAAGACCTATTAATGCTGATTTCATGGGATGACATCCCATCGCGCCTGCCCCTGGGCAAGACGTATCTGTTTTCAAGACCAAAACCTGATTCAGTGCTTCGGAAAACTTCTCTCAGATCTTTGCTCAAAGGTCAGCTTCCTGGAGAGGCCTTCTGGAGCCCCTCACTCCAGAGCCAGCCCTGCCCTCCGCATCTGCACAGCTCCTCTCTAGAACTTTCTCAGCACGGTTATGACATCGTACTTGCCCTCACTCCCTGCCTCTTTCCACTGTGTCAGCCCTGCGGGCAGCTCCAGAACGCTCAGCCCAGAAGGAGCAGAAAAGAAAAACGCATTTCAGGAGGTGAGTTCTCCTAAGGCAAGTCCAAGCTCGTTCCCAAACATGGAACTGCGTCCAGTGACAAAAAGGAGCCCTGTCCGCCCAGGGCACTCATTTACATGGGACTGTATACAGGCAAAGGGCCCAGGGTGAAAATGTGCTTGCAGAATCCACTATCAGGACAGACAGGGGCACTCTGGCAGGGGACCCGTCAGACACTGGAGGCACGGCCACCACACTGGATTCCAGGACACTTTGGTGCATCCAACCCTCAGGGTGTGATGGGGAGGTGACGTGTCCCCTGGAGGCGAGGGCATGACTGACCGATGCCCTCGTCCTCCCTACCCATCCTGCCGGCGCCCACTGTGGGTCAGAACCTCGTTAGGAGCTGGAGATCCAGGAGCGAGTGTCTGGAACAGGAAAGGCTCCTTGGCGGGCAGACAGCAGCCACGATTCGGATAAACCTAAGACCTCAGCGGACAGAAGCCCCAGGGGCATGGGACATAGACAGTGGCCAATAACACGGATGCCAGGGCCCTGGCTCAGGAGCTGCCCTCAGGGCCTGCCTCAGTCTCCCTGTCCAGACAGTGGGGATAGTAACAGCACCCACTGCTCAGCTGTTGGGGTGCCTGATGCACCTAAGTGACACATGGCACTGGACACTAAATCACATGCATGTGAACAGGAAGTGGCAAGGGGACGCTGCCCGCAGTGCCGACCGAGGTTTCTCAGCCTGGGCACCTTCGACACTGGGGCGGGTGCTCTGTGTGGGACAGCCATTGCCAAAGGTCCCTGGTAGGATGCCACCCCCAGTGGGCCCTCCCTGGGGGACGTCAGGAGGGCCTCTGCAGAGGGGTGGCTGAGGAGCTGAGTGAGGGGAGGGAGGGCTCCAGGTGGAGGGAGCAGGGATGGCGCCCTGACCCTCCCGCTGGGGTGGGGACACAGAGACCAGCACTCACAGCACCCGGCCATCCAGCTTCCGGCGCACGACCACCCCAAAGGGCTCCTCCTGGAACTCCACACTGTAGAGTGTGGACGAGGCCCGGCTGCGGACACGCGGGGTCTCCAGGGGCACCTCGTAGCGCCTGTTGGCGGGATCTTTGATCTAGAAGTCAGATGTTGGCGCCGTGAGGCTCTCTGTGGACTGGCACGCCTTCCCCCCATCACCCCGCCCTCACCCTCCAGAGGAGTGGGGACTCCGTGCACGGCCCAGCGTGGCCGCACACAGCATGGGAGCGTGGGCGACATGGTCCACTGAGCCTCCGTGTCCTTGCATCCCAAGCCCGGGGACCACCCCGCGCGGGTCTCCAGGGAAGACACACAACACCCAGGCAATCTGAATTCCAAACACACTTCTTCCAGTATGTCTCAAATATTGCATGGGACGTACGCTAACAACTATAAACCCATTCCTTGGTTTTCTGGATCCAAAGTTACTGGCATCCTGCATTTTTACTGGCTGAACCTGGCAACAACGTTCCACCCAGCATGCCTGTTGCAGGGTGGCTGAGGGTCAGATCAGAGCAGCCAGCCCGGCTCTGTCTGCTGCCCAGCAATCACCCGGTAAATGCTAGCGGCTGGAAGTCACTTCGTTAAAGTTATAACGAATTCTGTGCCTCAGACGCTCTTGGCTTGGCCTCCTCATACTCAGTGCCTGGGTTTCCACTGGGCACCTGCTATGTGCCAGATGGTTCCAGGGGCTGGAAATCAGCAGGGAGTGAATCAGACAACAGGTCCTGCCCTCAGCGGGGTGGACGATCACCAGATTCCACTGCCCACTGTCTGGAACGTTCCGCCTTCTTCCTTCTCCACCTCTCCCCTTGCTGACTCCTGTCCTATAGGACTTAAGGTCCCAGGTGGGAGGTTACTTACTGGGGGAGACCTGACCTCCCTCCACTGTGCCCTGGGCCCTGCCCTCCAGAGCACGTTCTAGAACCTTCTGATCACTGTCTTAGTGGCCACGGCTCCCTGAGCGTAGGCACCGTGTGCTCATTCCTGGGCTCCCAGTGAAGCCACCCAACCCATCTGCACACCAGACCAGCACCCAGTCGGTTCCACCTTGACAGGCCGCCCACCCACGTTTCTTCTGCCCCCGGGTGGCCCTGCCCACCGTGAAGTGAAGCCGGCTCTCTGTCTCCAGCAGCAGGTCCAGCCGCAAGGTCAAGATGTCCTTGGGGAAGAAGGTTGGGCTGGTGCGGGTCAGGGTGGCCGTGTAGCCTGTCTCCGTGCTGGTCAGGTTCCCCAGCTTGTAACTCGGGTAGCTGGGTGGGAAGAAGCACCAGGGCTGCCCCATCCGGGGAACCTGAGGCCACTGACTCGCAGGCTGGTAGCAGCAGCCCCGGGCCTCACACTGCTCCTGGGTGATGGGCTTGTCAGGGGCGCAGTCAAAGCGGCTGTTGGGGGGCACATCGCACTGGCTGGGTGCCGCTCGGGGACTGCCATGGTACCCTGTGGTGGGCTGGGGGCCCGGGTCACGGGCTTCCCGCTGGCGAGCGTGATACAGCTGCTCAGGGACTCGGGAGAAGCCGCGCTGCTCTTGGGGGACCACCAAGAAATCACGGAGCAGGACGTGCCCCAGGAAGACAGCGGTGGCCAGGGACACGAAGGTGCAGACCCCCAGCAGGGGGCGGGAGCTGGGAGGCCACAGCGCGGCCATGGTCGCTGGCCCCTGCAGGCAGCCGGCTGGGTCCTGGAGGCCTGCCGAGAGAGGAGCGGGGCTCAGCAAGGAAGGCGGGACGGAGTGGCTGGGGGTGGGGGGGTCGCGGGGCTCTCACAGCAGTTTCCAGACGCAGACCGGTGGCTGGCCCGGCAGTGCCCAGGATGAGGTGTGCAGAGAACCGGGGCGGGCAGGGAGGGACGAGCTGCTGGCACTGTTTAGAAAGACAGCAAGGGAAGGGAAAAGGGAAAGCCGAGGAAAGCCCCAAATAGGGAGTTTCGGGACGCCCTGTACTGTGACTGCTTACAAATGAAAAGCATTTAAAATGTGTGTAAAATGATTTAATGACACGCAAAGACCTATGTGGTAAGCTCGTAAATCAAACAGACGAGTCACAGCACGCCTGGCAGAAACACGGTCCCGCTTCCGCAGAGACTGGGGCTGAGTCACTCTGTTTTGGCAAATGAGCTAGAAGTGGAAGAGCCCTCAGGGCACCCACCACTCTCCCTCGGTCCCTCTTCTGCTGACCGGGCAGTGGCTACAGCCTGGTAAGAAGTCGCCAGCTCTGTGGCCGAGGGCCACACTCCCGGACGGCCCTCCCTGCCCCTGCGGTCAGGTGTGCGGCAGCTCCTCTCTCTGGGCGCTCGGGAGCTAAGTCCACTACTACCTCCCTTTTGCTTCTCTGTATGTCCTACGTGTTTTTCTCATTTATTCATTTGAGAGAGAGAGAAAGATGGTCAGAGCACAAGCAGGGGGAGGAGCAGAGGGAGAGGGAGATGCAGGCTCCCCACTGAGCAAGGAGCCCGATGTGGGGCTTGATCCCAGGACCTGGCGATCATGACCTGAGCCAAAGGCAGACGCTTAACCATCTGAGCCACCCAGGGGCCCCTGTTCTAAATATTTTATGATGAACATTGTTGGCTCAGCTCCTCTGAGGAGTAAGATACCAACAAGACCAATGTGCACGGATTTAATTAACGGAGTCCTTTCTCTCCGAGAGAAAACGGGGAGGTTGCCAGGAAAGCTGGGAGAGCTGTCACCCCAGGCAAGATCTGACCTCAGAGGCGTCAGATGCCGAGGGGAGGAGTGCTTGGGTCCAAGCATCCTGGACTGCCCGGCGTGTAGGCTGAGGAAGGTTCCGAAGGTTCCATGGGTCTGGCAGGAGGACCTGAGCCAAAGCTGGCCGCTAGTGAGATCAAGGTCTCTCAGTGGTGGCCTGCCCTAGTGTCGTGGGCTGGGAAGCAGCCTGGCCCCGGAGCAGACAGGGGCAAGCTCCGCGTGGCAGGAGGCCTGGGGGCCGCTCTCATCATCGTGCCCCCAGAAACATGCAAGGACTGGGGAGAAGTCACACGCTAGTAGGGCTAGCGCAGTGAGGGCCCAAGGGAGTCTGAACCCATCAAACACACAAACAGGGCCCCTGGGACACTCTGGCCACAGTGGGCCACTGCTGGATTGGGTGCATGAATGAACCGCTTTTATTCACAGCGCTGCTGACCCAAACGTGTGGGGTTTTCCCTCATGCCAACGAACGGTCCCATTCTCCCGACGCCAGCCCAGGGATTCACTCCAACCCTGACATGAATCCCAGTGTCGGTGCAGACCCCACAGGTGAGGGCTCAGCCCCACAGGACTGCCCCCTTCAGACCCCAGGCACAAGCCCCCCCGTTGTCACTCCCACTTTGAGCAAATAACGGGCTATAAATTCAAGGGTTTGCCCCACTCCCTGCATCCGCCTCTAGTTCGATGATTGGCTGGAACAACTCAGCACACTCAGGGAGGAGCTTTACATACTGTTACCTGTTTATTGTAAAGGATGGGGCAGCTAGAGGCCGTGGGTGGGATGGGGATGGGGGTGAGTCCGGAGCCCCCACGCCCTCGCTGGGCAGGCCGCCCACCCTCCCGCGCTGAAGTGTGTTCACAGCTCGGAGGCTGTCCGAACCCCAACGAGTTTTGGTTTCATTATCTAAGCACAACTGATTAAATCACTGGCCACTGGTGACTGTCACTCACCAGCCCCTCTGTCCTCCCCAGAGGCTGGGGGTAGGGCAAGTGGGCCGACAGTCCCCACGCTAGACTCCTGCCTCCTGCTTCTGGGGACCGGGCCCCACCCGAGGCTGCCCAGAGGCCCCAGCGGCCAGTCATTCTGTGAGCACAGAAAAGACTACCAGTGCCAAGGTTCCCAGCGTCTTAGGAGTTGGGGACCAAGACTAAATGTGCACGTGTTTATACGGCAGTGTCCCAGCTGCACCTGCCCCATCCAGACGCATGTGACACCCCGTGACCGCGAGGCTGCCTGGGGAACCCGCTCTTGGGAGCTCCTGCCCAGTGCTGGTGGCCCTCCCCACCCGGAATTCAGGGGCGCGGGCGTGGCCAGGGGGTGGCCAGGGGCACAGCAGGGCCAGGACCCGCCCCTGCCGCTGTCTCCGCTCCGCGCGGGGAAGACCCTGGCCGCGGGAAGACTGTCCGCCGGAGGGCTGGACAATCCAGACAAAATGGGGAAAAGGAGAAGGTCAGGAGGTCAAGCGGTGCCGCTGGCCCAGAGGCCCCGTGACCTCGCTTCAGGGAAGTGGCTCAGAGCTGGAGCCTCTGCTCCCCCAACCCGAGTGGCGGTGTAGACGAGCGGGTTCAAAGTCCAGCTGCGCCCTGCTCAGAGACGCAGGGTCCTTACCCCGTGCCTCAGTTTCCTCCCCACAACTGGGCAAACGGCCGCCCGTCGCCCAGCACCGAGGGCGCGGAGGGCACCGCGGAACCCCCGGGGTCCCCGTCGTCACCGCGGCCCGCCGCGCGCGGACACTGGCAGGACGCGCTCAGTTCTGCACCCGCGGCCACAGCCAGGCAATCCCGCCCATCGATCCGTCCCGCCCCCTTACGGAGTCAAGGCCGCCCCGACCGGCCCGACCGCCCAGCCCCTGTCGCAGCTATCGCTGCAGACGGTCCCCGCCCGGCCCTTTGCTGGAACCCCCGCAGCCCGCTGTCCGCTCACCTCCGCGCACGCGCGTCCAGCCTGGGGTCGCCCCTCCAGCCTCCGCGCACGCGCGCCCAGCCCGCCTCGCTCTCCGACCTCCCCCTCAACCCCGTTAGTCTCCGCGCACGCGCGTCCGATCCTCCCCGCCACCGGCGCTACCGTCCGCGCACGCGCCCCGGCCCACCACGGCCACCCGGCGTCAGGCGCAGGCGGGGCACGCGCCAGAGGGGGCGGGGCAGGCCGGGTGACAGGCGCCCGCGCAGGCGCCCTGGGAAGGGTGCGCGCCTCCGGACGCGCGCGCCCCCTGCTGGCGGGGCTTCCCCGTCCCCGCCCACCGCCGCGCCCCGAGCCTGAGAGGGGGCGAGCGGCGCGCACCGGCCGGGACGCGCGTGCAGGCCGGGGACGGCGCGCGGGCCTTAGGGCCTCCCGGACGGGGACCGCGGGCTCCCTCAACGCGCGGCCGGTGCGCGGAAGCCGTTCGGGCAGGGAAAGCGTCTTCGTTCCCGGAAAAGCGGAGGCTGCGGAGGGCGACCCGGCGCTCCGAGGGCGCCTCCCGCCGCGGGGGCGCGGCGCTGGCGGACAAAGACGCGTTTCTTCCGCGTTCAGAAAAGAATTTTATTTTCGTGCTGGAAATTGTTCTGAAGGCCCTTTCCCAGGACGCGGCCGAGAAGCCGCCGGGTGGCAGGTGCTGGGGCGGGGCGGGGCGTCGCGCGACGGCGACAACCGCGCGGGGACAGCTGGAGACGGGCGGCGTCCTGGGGCCCCTGGCCCTCGCCCGCTCTCCGTCGGGCCCTCCTCCGGGACGCCAGTGGGACCGGGGCGCGAGGAGGCGGCGCCGCGGTCCCCTCTGGGCACTCTCGGGACAGAGGCTCGCGGAGTCCGCCCTGCGTGGGGTGGGAGGCTCCCCGAAGTGCCCCCGGAAGCGCTGGGAGTTGACTCGGTTGGAATGGCCTGGGGTGGGGGGGCGACTGAGAGCATCCGGATCCGCCGCGCTGGCCTGTTGCTCCGAAAGGGCGTCTCTGGGGGTGGGCATGGCTCCATACACAGACTCTGGTCTCTTCCAGGGGTGGGGGGGAGCAGGCGTGGGAGGGAGGGCCCAGGCTGCTCTCTAGGGGGACTCGGACGGCCGGAGCTTGCTGGCGATGGTCTGGCTGACCTTGAGCAGGGCCGCCTGGAACTGGGGGTACTCGTTCTTCACCTGGTCGAGGATGGTGCTGATGACGACCAGCCGATTTTCCAAGCGCCTGTGCTCGTGCAGTAGCGACTGTTTGGAGCGGAACAGGAACACGTACCTCCCGTCCTTCACAGCCTGGAGGTGCTTGACCCGCGTCTGCAGGGCCACCAGCTCCGAGAGGTTCTTGGGTGGGACAAGAGACCCCGCATCAGGTTATGCAGCTTGAAAATAGGACACCCACTGTTCCCACACAAACTCAGGACTGGAGAAAATGCCCGGGGGAGAAGGGCGAAGGACAGGGATTCTCCACACGGTGGAGAAGAGGCTGATGTGCTGTGAGCTGAGCCTTTTCCTTTGCCCATCATCTGAGAGACATTTGATAGCGCTGGGTGCCAGGCCCATAGTGGACTTCCCTGCGCTACCTCCCGTCTCTGCTGGTCAGGCTCGGACCCTGCAGACTCACTTGACCCTCCTCTACTGCTCACACCACATCCAATCCAGCAGGAACTCCCACTGGGGCAGCTGAAATTATATGCAGAATCCCACAGCTTCACACTAGCCTCATGGCTACTGCCCCGGTCCGTGCATCACCTCAATTAGGCCTCCCGTGTTCTACCCTTGACCCTTCGGCATGAGAGCCAGAGGGATTCTGCTAAACCCAGAGCCATGCCTCAGCCCCAAACCCTCCACTGTCTTCCCACCTCCCTGACAAGAGCCCAAAGTTGAGATCACCGCCGCCCCCTGGCTGTGCACAGCATGGACTGTGGTCTCTCTGCCCTCAGGTCCAGCCTGCTGGCCTCTGACCGCCCCTAGAGCGGCCTCCTGCCCTGCTTTACCCAGCCGGCTCACTCCTTTGCCACCTTCAAGTCTGGACTCAGATGTTTCTCAAAAGACCCAGCCACCAGTGCCCTTTCTCATTTTCATTTTTCTCCGGAATATTTATCACCACCTAACACAAGCTATCTTTTTCATTCATTTTGTTTATCACGTGTCCTTCTGTCCCCAAAATGTAGCCTCCAGGAGCCTGCTCTGTCGCCTTTGCGCCCAGGGCAGTGCCTGGCCCATAAAAGTTGTGCAATATTATTAGATGTTAGGGCATATGAGGTGAGCGAGTGATCATAGAGTGCTGGGCAGCACTGGGGTCCCTGCGCTTAACTGGGTCAGGAGGAGGCCTTGGCTGAGGGCATGCTGCTGCCGCGAGGGCAGGTTCCATGCCTGGCCGCTTGTGGCCCTGGTGCCTCAGGAGACTGGCCTACCTGTTGCTTAAGGGCCAAGAGCCGGTCCAGGTGGGCCTCGAGCTCGTCAGTACTGGACTGCATCACCGACAGCTGTTCCTGCTTCTCCGAGAGGGAGCTGCTCACGTGCTTTTGAGTTTCTTCTAGTTCTAGGATGGCTTTGGTGCACTCCTCGGTGGCCTGGGAGATAGACAGGACCGTCCCGGGACCCTGCCTCCTGGTTACTAGGTAGACAGAGTCAGCTAGAGTGTGGGGAGGATCCCCACGAGGGCAGAGGGAGTCCCTGCCCCTCAGACACCAGGACCTGGAGGGGTGAGTCCCAGTGAGAGGGACTCCCACCCTGCAGACTGCTCCCCAAAGGCAGGCATGGCTGGGAGAGAGAAATGGGGGCCCCCCTCTTGAAGCAGATCTGTCTGCAAGGGCACAGGGACCAGGGGCTGCTGGGCCCCTGTGTGCCAAGAGTAGGAAAAGCAGATGCCTGGGGCAGGAGCTAAGCCTCGCAGGGTGGGGGGTGTTGGGGGTGGGTGTGGAGGAAGCCAGACTCCGTCACAGTGAGGTTGGGCAGCCGGGGGTGGGGTGGGGACACAGCTGGTGGGGTCCAGTAGATCAATAAATTAGAGGCAACAGAGTGACTCTCAGGGTCTAGCTGGGGACACGGGAGAATTTGGGCTGTGCAAAGGGCCAGTCTGTGCATGAACACTGGCGGTCTTGCTGCGTGTGGCACGTGGGGGAATGTGTGGCAGGAGGATCTGGGCGCAGACCCCTAGCTGGAGCTGAGCAGGGGGCAGGGAGGGCAGGGCAGGGGTGGCAGCTGGGGAGCCCCAGGGGTGGAGAGGAGTGGGCATCATGAGTGACCAGCGTGGCAGAGAGGATTGGCCAACAAGGACCAAGAAAAGGCCATTCTGCTGCCTCCAGTAATTTCCAAATGAGCAGGTGGGTCAACCCCATCATTTTCAGCTAATCTCTCCTCATATAGGATTTAGGCCTTCAGAGGCTCTCCCGACAGTCTCCATGTAATCCTCTGGACAGCTCTACGAGATGCGTGCCCTTCCCCAGGTCAGGAAGCTGAAGCACGGAGCTGTCAGGCAGCATTCCTGAGCCTAGAGTGGAATAGTTTGCGGGAGCCCAGCGGGGCTCGGAGACCGGGTTCTTTCTCTTTCTCGGGTGAGCCTTCACCTACCCGGGGCGGGGCTACTGCTCATATATCACCCGGCAGAGGCAGAAACGCAGGCTTGGAAAGGTCCCACTTACGCCCAAGGTCACATGGGCGGAGGGAGTCTGAGCCAGAGGCCGGTGATGGTCGAGGGAGTGTGTGCTGGGCAGGGCACACGCCATGTGCTCGCTGATACGGCCTGGTGCACGAGGGTGTGGGCCTTCCGAGTGCCCACCAGCCTGTCCCCCCACCAGCTGGGCTCAGAGACACAGGGACTCAACATGAGCCACGGTTCAACACACCGTGCATCCCTGACGCCGTTTCTGTGAGGTGGTGGGTGAGGGGCTGAAATCTGATAGTCTCTGGCCCTGGGTTGTACCGCTCTGTGTGGTTCTTCTGTAAAACCCAAGCCGGACACCCTCAAGGGCACAGTGACAGCCACTGCATCTCTACCCAGAACTGGCACGTGGGTTGTGAGGCTCAGGCCCAGATGGTACAGGGGACAGCTGGCTTGTCCGGTTCCGGAGCCAGGCTGCTTCCCCCCGCAGCCCCCCACCTCCACTTCTCAGCCTGGTCAGACCGCCCCACACAGGAGCCCTGACTCAGCTCTGGGAAGGGGGCAGGAGAAGGGGCAGTGCTGAGAAGCAGGCCGGCAGGACAGAGGGACCAGGTCCACGGCACGCTCCCTCTTGTCGGAGGGCCGCCTACCTTGTGAATGTCCCTGATCTTGCGTCGCAGCTCTGTCTGTTGGTGGTGGAAGCCCGTCCGGGTGAGCAACTTCTTGTCCATCTTGGCCTGCCCCTTGGCCTGGGTGGAGATGGTCTCTCTGCGGGCGACGGCCAGCTCCATGTCCCGGATCATCTTCTCCTGCTGCTTCAGCAGCTGCCCGTGCCTGACCTGGGTGTACGGGGCAGGGGGGCCGTGAGGGAGAGCGCCCAGCGCCAGCTCTGCTGACCCTGTGGAGCCTTGACCTGGCAGGGGACCAGCAAGGGGGATGTACCCGAGGACAGAGGGCTCTGGAGCCATCCCCTGCTGGTCAGAATGAGTTGAAGGTCCATGTAAAGAGTGCACTGACAAGGGGAAAACTAGAAACTGGCAGAGGCCGGAGGAGGTTGGGAGACTGAGGACCACCACGTGCAGCCTGGTGGGATTCTGGAGCAGAAAAGGGACGGTAGCCAAGAAAGTGGGGACACCTGTACCAACGTTGATTTCTTGGTCGTGGTTTTGGGAGGCGGTGACGGGAAGGGTCTGTGGGACCAGGGCTGGGGCCTGGGTTGTCACAGAGGCTGACTGTAAGGGCCACATGAGGCCTTTCTCGGGTGTTAGGAGTGTTCCGTCTCCGTTGTGGGGACAGAGACATGGGCCCGAGCTGAACCTGTCCAGCCGGACATTGAAAATAAATTCATCTCCTTGTGTGTAGTCAGTGAAGCCAGTTCAGAATAAAAAAGGATAAACAGGCAGGAACCCCCAGGCCAAGGGTGGTGGTGGGAGACCTAGCCCACCGGGGTTTAAAGAGTGCCAGAGGCCTCATGCTCTGCAGGGGCGGGAGCCCAGGGCGGGGACGGCACAGATGGGCTGTTGACAGCGGGGTGTCGGCTGAGCAAGCAAGTCCAGATGCTCTGGGGATGCCAGCGAGACTCACACCCCAGCTGAGAGAACAGCGATGGCCCCCGCTTCACGCCATGTCCAAAAATTAATTCCAGGTGATTCAGGATCTCAAGATGTGCAAACACGTGCAGAGAACTTGGGAACATATTTGTGTCATTTCAAGCTGCGGTGGCCGTCTAGAGCAATCCGGGAAACCCAGAAGCTGCGCAGAGGGCAGACACGCCTCACGGCATGAACCGTAATGACCCCGTGAGTGGGGAGAGACCTGGAGCAGAGGGAGAACGTGTGGGACGGGTGTCCACGGCGGGGCTTAGTAACGGTGACATGCCCAAACTCCCCCGAGTTGCCAAGAAGTAAGAAAATGGAAATAGGAAATTGAGGAAGTACTCGCCACACACACGCACACACCCACACACACACACACACCCGCTCAATAACCCATGACAGAAAACAGGTAAGTACAAAGCTTCTAGAAGAAAATGTAAGAGAAAAGCCTCTGTGACCGTGGGCCGAGCTATGATTTCTTAGATGCACCACCGCAATGATGCACAGAGAACAGAGCCGGGCCTCACCGACGTGAGGGGTCTCAGATGCGTTCTGGGGTGTGAGAAAAGCCACACTCGCGATGATACACACTGCAGCGTCTGTGTCTGTGACATCCTGGGAGAGTCGGGGACTGGGGTGCGGGACGCAGAGTGCAGGGGGCACGAAGGGACCCGCGGGTGATGGAGATACTGCATATCATGAAGGGGGGTGGTTACGTGGTTGTACATTTTGTCACAGCTGACGGGACCGTGCCACGGGGGCGAGCTCGGTTAAACCCCTCACTTTGAAAATAAAGCCTTGTGGGCTGCTGACACCCCGAGGTGCCCAGGCTGTCGGGACGTGGCTGTCCTTGAGCACCTCTTGGAAAAACGATCTGAGGGGCTCTGGTCAAGACTGTGCACTCCTCCGCCCTGTAATCCCACTTTGGGGAGTCGGACCTGCAGCAAACCCCAGCAAGAAAGGACGGTACGGCGAGCACGGGGAACAGGAAAATCTGGATTCTCACCAACCCGGGACGCTCTAAGAAGTTAGGATACATACGCAGGACATTCTATAACTGTTAAAAACTGGGCTAATGTCCGTATTTTTTGAAAAATAAGTTGCCAAGCTAGACGTGCAGATCCCATTTTTGCGAAGGAAAGGAAGCAGCCGCACGCCATGGGGGGGCCCGTGTGCGCATGCGCAAGCGCTTGGGGGTGTGTGTGTGTGTGTGTGGCCGGGGGGGGGGGGGGGGGGGGGTCTGACCTGCAGCAGCCAACAAATGTGGCTTCCAGGGTCTGAAAAGTCAGTTAAATGGAGCGTTTTAAAAACTTAGTAGCATATGCATTTGATCAGAATTCCTCTGAATGCCGCAGGCAGAGGGGTCCTGATTGAAAGCGGCTTTGTGGAAGTGATGCCCGCCCGCTTTTACTACCTTCCTTGCTTATCCTAGGGCCCTGATTTAATCACCAGCTGTTTTTGAGGGAACGAAATCCAGCTCAGGATGACGGTGGAGAGAACTCCAGGCTCCCACGGAAAAGATGGGTGTGTTCTCCGAACACATTTCCTGGCAAGACACCTTTCCTCGACAGTGGGATGTCTCTCCCCAGTGGGTCGTGAGGTTCGGGGGCCCACCCGCCCTCAGAGTCATCAGAGTGCCCGGACTGCGTGGGGCAAGGGTACAAGAGTGTCTCGCGTAACACCACACGCAGGGCTATGGGTCTTGTGGTGTCTGTGATCCTCTCCATGTGAGAAGAACCGAAGTGGACGGACCTTGGGCGGGAGGTCAGCAAGGGAGCAGCCTGGAGTGCTTACCCTTTGCCCTTCCCTGGGGATGGTGTCCATGCCACTGGCCAAGGTGGCCCATGTGGTCCCGGGGGATCCACCTGGTTCCCAGGCCCCCAGAGCCCCACCTACCTTCATCCTGTGGATCTCTGCCTTCATGGCTCGGATCTCTGTCTGGCCGGTCTCTGAATCCACCGATGCCCGCATCTCTTTTGCCAGCTGGATTTTTTTCTCCCAAAGCATGATCTGGTGTCTTTAAAAGTGGGAGAGGCAGTGTGAGAGTGCGAGACACTGAGGAGATTTCTTTCTGATGCTTCTGTGAACTCATGACCTAAGGGCTTGCTCCAAATTGAGACCTGCAGTGGACGGCCGGAAGGCAGGGGTGAGCAGAGGCCAAGCATGGTGGGCTTGGGGCGGGCTCAGAGCAGGGGGGCCAGTACCTGGGACCCTCACGCTCTCTCTCTCTCACTTGGCATCTTTAAATACCCAGGCACTGAGTGGAGGGCTTGACTGTCAAACAGAAACAAATCCCCCCATTCCGTTACCTGCGGGTCAACATAAACGCCCGGGGCCAAGGCGGTCTCTCAGATTCCTGCCCACACAACCCAGGGCAAAGGGGCTCTCCCTCCCTGGTTGGCGGTGCTGTCGTGACGTCATGTGCAGGCACAGCTACGCCACACCTGAAGCCACCGTACCTCTTTGTGCTAAGGATACTTCAGTAAAAAGGAGAAGTTCACATAGCAGCAAAGACGGACGATCACCGCCTGGCTTCGATGTTTGTGCCCCTCTCCATGACACCCAACACGATGGTGTTTGGAGCTGGCCCCTCTGGGAGGTGCCTATGTCACCAGGTGCAGACTCATGAAAGGGGTCAGCGCCCTGAGAGAAGAGACCCCACAGAGTCCCCGCGGGGACACAGCCAGAAGCCCAGTATCCAGAAGAGGCCCTCACTCACCCAAACTGACCCCCTGACCTTGGACTTCCAGCCTCCACAACGATGACCGATGAAGTTTATAAGCCCTGGCCAGAGCTGTTACCGCGGCCTGGATGGGCAGCGGGCTCAACCGAGCTGGAAGGAGCGCGCGTGGGCTCTGACCTGGCCGGGAGGGGCTGACTCAGCAGCCAGTCCCGCGGGAAATGTGGGTCCACAGAAAATACATAAAACTGGTTCAGAGGGCAGCACAGAGAACCCCTTTTTTGTTTAAAAAGCAAGCAGACAAGAAAGATGTATGCACTGTGGTTTCCCTGCAAAGGGAGAAAGTTGGAATGACCTGTGTCTTTGCAGACATTGTTACCGTTCACAATGCTACAGTTGGGGGTGGGTTACTCTTACAGCCAGGCGTCATAAAGGGAGAGTAATTTTAAAAAATTTATCCCAAAGAGAGGCACTCAAGGGGACGCCTGGGTGGCCCAGTCGGTGAAGCGTCTGCCTACGGCTCAGGTCCTCATCTCGGGGTCCTGGAATGGAGTCCTGCATGGGGCTCCCTGTTCAGCGGAGAGCCTGCTTCTCCCTCTCCCTCTGCTGCTCCCCCTGCTTGTCCTCTTTCTCTCTCTCTCTCTCAAATAAATAAGCAAAATCTTAAAAAAAAAAAAAAAAAAAAGCCACTCAACTTCCCCCGAAGACTGGACGGGCCAGGGTGTACGGCGGGAACCGCGCCCTGACACCTGCTCTTCCCTGGGCCCCGCCCCCAGCGTGGCTCCCAGGCCGCTGTGAGTGGGCGGGGGCTGCGCAGGCGCGGCGGCAGGGGGGCGGAGGGGGGCGGGGCCGGCACTCACTCCGCCTCCACCAGGTTGCTCAGCGTGGCCTCCTTCTCCTCCTGCAGCTGGTTCAGCCTCTCCTGCATCTCGATGGTCTCCTTCTCCGAGGCCTGCGCGGGGACAGGGGCGCGACCGGCTGGGCGGGGACCCCGGCGGACGCAGGGCCCACCGTGTGCCCTCCCCCCCCGTGCGCGCCCCCGCCCCCCGAGCCCGGAGCCCGCGCGTGTCGCAGCGGGCGCGCACCGGACCTTGAGCGCGCGCACGAACTCCTTCTCGGTCACCAGGTTGTCCTGCTGCAGCCCCTCGGAGCTGCTCCGGTTCCTGCTCATCAGCGCGCTGAGCTTCTTCAGGTCGTTGTCCAGGTCCTTCATGCGGCGCTCGATCTCCTTTTGCTCCTTCTTCTCCTGGTCGATCTTGTCTGCAGCGGAGGGGACGCGGGGGTGGCCGTGCTCCCAGAGTAGCCCCCACCCCAGTCAGGGCCCTGCGGGCCAGAGGGAAGCAACTTCTCTCTGGCCGCTCCGTTCCCAAAGCCTGGCCCTCCGAGACACCGGAAAGGACCACTGTGTGGACAGCCAGCAGGTGGGGGGACGGGATGGTGGTGGGCAAGCCCCCTGCCCTGAGAACAGCCCGTGGGGAGGTGACTGGCACTCACTGGGTCTCCAAGAAAGTTGGGCCTTGCCCCCTACAAGGCACCGCCCAGCTTAGGGGCAGGGGCCAGAAAACAACCACCCTAATGGGCAGGCCAGGAGGGCAGAAGGGCCTCTGGCGTGAGAGGTCCAGGTGGAGTGGGGCCCGGAACACCAGGGAGCATTTCCTGTGGGGCCGCATGGCCAGGCTGACCTGCATGGATCTCTGGTCGGAGACACAGGTGGGACCAGGTGGGACCAGGATGCCTCTGTGGGGGCCATGCGGGGGGGGGGGGCGGTTGCCGGGAAGGTGCTCATCTCCCTCTTCCAGGCACCCTGGCCCATTGGAGACCCCTGGTTTTTACACCGCCTGGGACAAGACAGGGGCTGGGGAGCCTCTGGTGGGACCGTTTTCTAAGTTCAGCTGGAGAGGAAGAAGGCTTCTCGTCCCACGGCCCTGAGTGCAGGGCACGAGGTGTCCCGTGTCCCTGAGCAGGGCAGCGAGCCCGTGGGGCCCCTGCACCGCCCGGCGCTTACTTTCTATCCGCAGCTTCTTCTGCTCCAGGATGCGCATCTCCTTCTTGAACATGTCCAGGGACGCCAGCTGCTGCTCCCGCTCCTGAGTGACCTTCACCATCTCCTGCTGCAGGCGGAGCCAGGTCACCTGGGCCTGGGTCACGCTCGTGTTGTTCTCGTCGATCAGCTTGCTCAGCCTTTTGATTTCCAGCTCCAGAGGCCCCACTTCTTCCCCCTAAAAGCGAGAGTCACCAAAAAGCAAAGTGAGCTTCCTTGTTTTCAAAGGTCTGCTTTCCGGGTGGGCTGAGGAGGGCTGGGACCCCGCCTGGGATCATGCATCTGTGGGAGGACTGGGGGACATTTCCTCGAGGGCACTGAGCATCCCACGTCTGCCCCTGACCCGCTGTGGGAGACACAGGTCTCGGGAGGCCTGTGGCCCCCTCCCCATCATGCCACAGCCTTGTGGGGCCAAGGGCAGGGCCTTGACATGGCCTCCATTACTCAAAGGGGCTTTACAAGTTTTCTTTTAGGGACAGACCATCAAGGGCCAGAGTCTTTACTCCCTCATTGTCCATTGGGCCGTGGCTTTGAGAAGCTTTCTAGTGCTCAGGATCTACCTAAGAGCATGCCCAGCTGACCGTCTTCCTCCTGGACTTGAAGCCCATGGAGGGGCCCCCACGTTAGGGATACGTGGGTAACCTATAAGGACTGCAGGCCTCAAACTCATCAGATGCCCTCACTTAGAGCAGCGATCAGATCCCACCTGCTGTCTTTGCTTGGCAAGAAAGAAGATTTGGTTCCTGGTGAAAGTTACAGGGTCCAGTTTCAGAGCCCACCAAAGACCCACAGCCATTTCCTTACCACCTGCCTTTCTGGCCATGACAGCAGGGGTGAGCACCTTCAGCAGACAGCGTCTGGCCTGAAATAGTTACTGTCTGGACCTTGGCAGGAGAAGGTTCGCAGGCAGGCCCCGACTTGGGGGATCCCCCCCTCGCCGTGTCACCCATAAAAGGGGCGGGAAAGGAATGGCTCCGTCCCATGTGAATTCATTTCAGAACGTCCCTGACATGGCCAGGTGCAAATATCAACCGGGGCAGCCTCTCCTGGCCCGGAGGTCTTACCCCCAGCTCAGAAACCATCTGCTCCAGCTGCTTATTGAAGAAGTTGATGAGGCCTTGCTTTCTCTCGATCAGGATTGTGCGCCTAGAGATCTCGTTCTCGCTGTTGGTGATGAGGTCATTGACCTTCTTCACTTCCTTGTCGAGCTCGGCCAGCGTCTTCTGGTGCGTGTCCAGCCTGCAGTTGGTGTTTGTGATGTCCAGGGTGGTCTGAGCAATGTCGCCGTCAATTTTGGACAGATGCGTCACCTGCATTAGCATAAGGAAACAGGTCTGAGCAGTCTTTCTCGCAGGGGCAGGGGGTCTAAGTGAGCTGGCTGGGCTATCGTTTCCTTGAGCATCTGCTACACAGTCGACCTCTCCTTCCTTCTAGTCTGTGTATATGACCTCCCCACCTTCCCCCAGAACCAAAGGCAGATCACCCTCTACACATAGGTTTATAAGCTGCTTTTTAATGAGCTCAATCTTGACTTCTATGCTCATGTCATTTTTAATGGCTGTGTAATACTCCCTTATACTGGTAACCTAGGAAACTAGCCACGGTTGTCGTCAGCATCCTCCTTCCATCCTGTCCCACAGTTCTGAATCTGGCGCCCAGGGGCTGGTCTGGACAGCTGGTATGTTTTGGTGAAGGAAACGGATTCCTTCCTCTCTGGGGTTGTAAAGCTATGGCAAGTTCAACAACGACTTCTCATTTGTATCTGGTGGTACAGGAGGGTGTCCTTACGTTCTGCTGAAAAGCTAGACACAGTCATGGAAAGACGGTATGTTGCTGTGCTGTCATCGGCCGCCCGGGCCGCTCTGGGCTCTTGCCAGCCTTGGCTTGTGGGGCAGGAGTCCCAGCCAGAGCTGAGTAGCTGAGGGCTTCTCGGGGCCCACCCACTGCCCTGAGAGCCTTGACGAGAACCCCCTGCCTCTTCTGCTGGCTCTCAGGGAGAGTCACCGGGTCCTGCCTGTGACCTAGGGTTTACTGGGAGGGTATCTGTGAGAACCAGAGGAGGGGGGTGGCAGGCACAGTCACTCAGGCTTCCTTTGGAAACGGAGTCTCTTTCCCGAGTGGTGGCTGTGTCCTGACCCTACGATCTGGCCCCTCAGCTCTCGCCCACATAAATTCTCAGCTTTCTCCTGGCCCCTGGCTCCTGCCAGCTCCCTGTCCTCCAGGGTCATCTTGGCTCTGCCCCCAAGACCCCGGCTGGCTCTGTCTCACGTGCATCCTCTGACCGGCCCCTGCGGGTGACTCGGCAGGACGCCCAACAGTCCTGGGTTTTAGAGCTGGACCCTGCCCACCTGGATGCTTCCAGCATCACAGTCACCCAGCTCCCCATGGGAACGCTCCTGAGCTTTCCAGGCCTCTGAGCTCAGACTGAACCTCGTGTCTTTTTGTCAGGACCACCCGGGATAGGATCTCCACAGGGGCTCCCCCTTCCTCTCCGCCCCCGTGCTTGCCATCCCACGGGGCTCCGGCAGGCCCTCAGCTCTGCTCCTGGACCGTTCGCTCTTACTGAGACCACCCTGGCTGCTCCTGAACTAACTTGCAGACCTGCGCCTGCCCTCCCTCTGAACCCCCTCCAGATCCCAGGGTTTTTTGGGTTTTTGGGTTTTTTTTTTTTTTTTAACATTTTGGAAAAAGTGCCCCCTTTAAAGAGCTAAACTTGCATCTCTGGGGCGATCATAATGGACAAATTTGTGAGACCGAGACTCTTTACTGCCCTCCGCTGGACATTGCTGGTAGTGTGTGTACCACCTGCAGGGGTGGCTGGGGGGCCTGCGGGCCTGGGGGCTTGGGGGTCTGGGGGCCTATAAGCGCAGCCCCCCCGAAGGACTGGCGGGTGACTTCACGCACACCGTGCTCGTTGGCTTCTCTGGAGTTTTGCTCCCAGGGGGTAGTCTTGCCCCAACTTCCCAGAGAAAGGATGAGCGGGACACCCCCAGCATCAGACAGGACCTCCCACGGAGACCCAGCTGAGTCCAGTCTTGGTTCTGGCCCCGTCTCCCCACTTCCTTGCTATGACCAGGCCGCAAGCTGCCTTTCTCCCAGGTGTCCGGGAGGGATGGGGTGCCTCGGGCTGCCGGCCAGGTAGGCAGCAGCCCCGCCCTCCCGGAAGGACAGGGGAGCCCTGCCAGCTGTCTCAGCCAAGCCTCCTCCTGCCAGCAATGGCCATCAGCTGCTGACATGCGGGGCGCAGCTTCTGTCCCCCCACCTTTGCTGTCACTGTATTCAGAGGTTAGATCGGGTGCTCTAACACCAGCCGGGTGTCTCACAGGGAGAGAGTAAAGGCGGAGCCCAGGATCACACGGGAGCCCAACTCATGCTCTTAACCGCAGGCTGGGAGGGGCCCACGTCCCGTCAACTCCCGCCCCTCGGATGGAAGCTTCTGGTAGTCTGGAGAGCAAGGAAGCGTCTGTGTAGCTGCTGCTACGTGCTGGCATGGCGAAAGGGCTCTCTTCCTCCTGAGACTTGAGGGGCCCTGGGGCAGGCCGTCTGCTGGGCTGTGCCCTAGGCCTGGTGCAGGCTGCGGTGGCCTCCGTGGGTTCCGCAAGGGGGCCCACCGAGGCAGAGGACGCCGGAGGGGGTCACACCATGGGAGGCAAAGAAATGATTCAAGGAAGGACACAGGGACCCCCGACCACGGCTCGGAGTGAAGCGAGACCCCAGGGAGAGCAAGAGAGAGCTCTTCTTGGAGGAGGTCCCCAGGCCATGAGGGCCTCGCCTGGTGGGGCAGAGGTCCGGGGCTCTGCGACCCCACCCTGCGAGCCTGGGTTTTTGCCGTAGCAGCTTCTCCTCACAAGTGTGGACAAGGACGTCGGGCGAGCACGTGCAGAGCTGAGTTGTTTACAACGTTAGAACCTGGAAACACGTTCAAGTGCCTCCGCAGAGGGTTTTCAAACACGATGCGTTCGTCTGTGTGACGAAGTGGCATGCAGAATGGAAAATGGGGGTTTTTGAGGAACATTTCACGGAAAATGTTAGTTGGATGTGGCCAAAAAGTGAACTAAAACAGCCTCCGCCCGGGGAGAAAGCCCGTGGGGACCTGCGCTTCCTCATGCGCTTTCCTCTCTGCGGCGTATTTCGGTGAAACGCAGGAGACTGGACTAGGATAGATGTGAAAACGGATAAAGGAGTCGGACGTTGTTTAGGGTGGGTGCACACGGGTGCGTCCACGTGCGCGCCTGCACGAGGGGCGAGTCCCTGTGTGTGCGTGCGCGTGTGTGCACACGAGTGTGCGTGCGCCTGTGAGAGTGTCGGCTCGTGGGTGCGACTAGAGCTAAGTGACAAGTGAGCAGACCTGCTGAGGGCCCCTCGCTCGGCCCGCGTCCCCCACCCGTGACCCGCCAGCCCGGGCGCCCCCAGGGCCGCGGCGTGGGGATGGCCCACCAGGTTGGTCTTCTGCTTCTGCAGCTTCAGGATGAGCTGGTGGAAGTACTTGGTCATCTTGTTGGACGTCATGTGCTCCTGCAGCTTCTCCACGATGGAGGCGTCCATCCTCCTCCTCAGCTCCAGCTCGTGCCGTGTGGTCTGCTGGACGGACTGCAGGTCGCCCGTGCTGGCCGTGTACTCCTGGACCGGAAGGAAGGGGCAGGGACGGAGCTGTGCGGGGGCGGCCGCGGGGACACGCCATGTGGGCGGGGGGGGGCGCGGTCGTACCATTTGGGCCTTGCCCAGCGCGTCCTCCGTGTCCTGCAGCGCCAGCCGGTAGGTGTTGAACTCGCTCTGCAGCGCCTCCTGCCTGCTCAGGCTCTGCGCGGTCAGCTTCTGCAGCAGGCCGGCCTCCGTCTCCGCACGGTTCAGGATGCTCACCAGCTTCTCGTTCTTCTCTTCCTCCCCCATGATGGATTTCTTGTAGGCCTCGATCTCCCCATCGATGGACATGATCTGGTGCTGGCATTCGCTGTCGGGAGCGAGAGAGCAAAGCCGGGGCCTCAGAGCACCCGTGCCCGGGCTCTGCCCGCGCGCGGAGGGTCTTGCCCGGCAGAGAGGGACGAATGGGGACCCAGCTCTTAGCAGCAGCCAATCTCGATGCCCGCTTCCTGACCTAGTCACAGAACCACTGCCCACTTTGATGGGTAGAGAGTAAGGGAGAAGGGCCAGAGGGGGCAGGCATTGTCCCGGGGCCAGATCCGGCCACTCTCGCCTGTCAGGGGAGCGATCCCGGAAAGGGAATGTGCTAATCCAATTTCATACACACGGATACCGGAGCTCCGAGCCCTTGAGCCGCAGGCCCGTGGCCACGTGCGTGGCGTGGCTGGGAGGAGCACCTGTGGGTGTCACTCCTGACCCCCGGTTCCCCTCTGCACACTGGCTGTGCGAATGCCTGTAACTAACATCAAGGCAAACAGACAGGTGCTGGATAGTAGAATCTTCATCTGCGTGACACATTGTTTCTCCTGCATTCTGAGACGTCCTGTGACTGTGCGCTTTTCTCCACTGGTAGTAGCTGATCCTTTGAATAAGTTCTTATCCAAAGTTCTTATTCAAAAATCAGGGGCGCCTGGGTGGCTCAGTGGGTTAAGGCTCGGCCTTCGGCTCAGGTCGTGATCTCAGGGTCCTGGGATCGAGCCCCACATTGGGCTCTCTGCTCAACAGGGAGCCTGCTTCCCCCTCTCTCTCTGCCTGACTCTCTGCCTACTTGTGATCTCTTTCTCTGTCAAATAAATAAATAAAATATTAAAAAAAAAAAAAAAAAGATACCGGGGAGATGTGCCGTGTTTATTCAGCAGAAGACTCACTATCGTTAAGGCATTAGTTCTCCCCCAAAAGATCTTTAGTCTCAACACAATTCTAATTACAATCGTAGTAAGTATATTTTTTCCAGAAATTGCCACACTCGTTCTTAAATTATATATGGAAATCTACAGGACCTCAAATTGCCCAAATACTTTTGCAAAAGAAGAACAAGGACCCCACAATCCGATTTTAAGACTTCGTATAAAGTTGTCATCATCGGGTCCATGTGGTTTTATTTGTGGAGGGAGCAGAATCAGGAGTCCACAAACAGACACACCGACACACAGACGCACGTGGCCAATTGATATTTGACGAAGGGGACACGGTCTTTCAATGGAGAGAGGACGGTCTGTTCAGCGGCGGTACTGGGACTGTGGGCAAATGGACGGAACTTGGCTCTCATGCCGCGACAGACTTAACTGGGGATGGTCACGTACCCACGGGGAAGAATTAGCAGAAGACATAGGAGGGAGCTTCAGGACCCCACGTCAGGCAAAGATTTCTTCAAGAGGACACAAAGAGCATGAGCTATGAAAAAAATTAATTAATGGACTTCATCAACGTTTAAGCCTCTGTCCTTCCGAAGCCACTGTTGTGAGAATGGGAAGTCAAAGCCACAGGCTGGGAGGAAATACGTTCAGAGCACACGTCTGAGAGAGGCATTGTATCTAGAATATATGAAGATCTCTTCTTAGTCAGTAACGAGATGAGCCCCTCAATATAACAAAGAAGGTCTCTGGGGGGCAGGTCAGCGCGTGAGAACGTGCTCAACCTCATCAGTCATCGGGGAATTGCAGAGTTAAACGTCCGGCGATACCACGACTCCCCGACTCTCGGCTGAATGGAAGGGCTAACGTTAAAGTGACTGACAACAGCCAGTGTTGGTGAGGACGGGGGAGTCGCTGGGAATCGCGCCGCTGCTGGAGGGAGCGCAAAATGGAACGAGATTGGAAAAAACATTGGGCGTTTGTGACCAAGTTGAATGTGCACTCAGCAGCGGTCCCAGGCCGGGCGCTCCCCCAGGGGACGAGGAAGCACTAGATGCCCAGACGCGTACACGCTGTCCCAGGAGCTCTGCCCACGACACCCCGGACCGGAAACAATGGGGAAGCCCGTCAGCTGGTGACCCGGTGAACGCGGCGGCGGTCTCTTTGGCAATAACAAGACACACACGGCCGCGCTGGCACAGTCCCACGTCCCACGTGGGGATGAAGCTCAGAAGCCAGGCGAGGACGGCCGCACGCTGCGTGACTCCATCCCTGGGACCTCCCGGGAATGACAGGGCGGGCGGGACAGAGAGCAGATGGGGGCTCGGCGAGGGCTGGAGGTGGGGAGAGGATGGGACTTGGAGATGAAGGAAATGGCCCGTCATCTTGAGGGCCCCGGGGGGTACTTGCCTCTGCCCATCTGCCACGCTCGCAGAGCTGGGCACGGACGAGGGAGAACTTTTGTACATAAGAAATCTGCACATAAATTAGCCTCAATAAACCCAACCTAAAATAAAAAAGCTACTCATTTTCTTTTTTAGGAAGTAGCAGCCTTATAAATGTCTAAAATCTGACAATAAAAATAAGACATCCAATTTCAAAAGACACAGTCACAAATTGCATGACAGAAGTCTGAACACGTGGTAAGACATACGTGCGGGACAAGAGATGCCTGTGAGTGCCCAAAATGCTAATAAATTGTCATTGTCCCCGAAGGAAAAAGACAGTGGTATTGTGAACCTTTTTTCCTGTTTTTCAAATTTCCTAGAATGTGATCACTTATCCTTGATAAAGATTATTTTTAAAAAAACACACTTTAGGGGGGCACCTGGGTGGCTCAGTCAGTTAAGCATCTAACTCTTGATCTTAGCTCAGGTTGTGAGTTCAAGCCCCAAGCTGGGCTCCACTTTGACCGTGGAACCTGCTTTAAAAAGACCCAAAAAAGCAGTATCACATGCTGATAAGTCAAGTCACATGAAGACAGAATTGATCACTCAATTTAGTCAATGTATTAACATGGTTCCTGTGGAATGGTGGGGATGAAACTTGATGGGATTAGGCTCAAGAGAAATTAGAAGGAGTTTCTGGAAAAGGTCTTATTTCTCCCTAGACATGGACGCCACCCCACCAATGGAGACCTTGGAAGTTCTGGCCGCTATCTTGAAAAACAAGCCTACCCTGGGCTCCACGCTGGGCATGGAGCCCACTAAAAAAAAAAAAAAAAAAAGATAATAGTTTAAAAAATGAATGAAATAAAAATTAAAAAGGCACTTTAAGAACGTCCTTGATTATGGGGAATCAGGCTCCCTGTTCAGTGGGGAGCCTGCTTCTCCCTCTCCCTCTGCTGCTCCCCCGCTTGTGCTCTCTCTCTGTCAGGTAAATAAATAAATTCTTTTTTTAAAGATTTATTTATTTATCTGACAGAGAGAGACAGAGATCACAAGCAGGCAGAGAGAGGGGGAAGCAGGCTCCCTGCTGAGCAGAGAGCCCGACTCAGGGGCTCGATCCCAGGACCCTGAGACCATGATCTGCTGGGGATGCCACTTGTGTGCTCCAAACCCTCGACTTCCTGGGTGGCTCAGTGGGTTAAGCCTCTGCCTTCAGCTCAGGTCATGATCCCAGGGTCCTGGGATCGAGCCCCACATTGGGCTCTCTACTCAGCAAGGAGCCTGCCTTCCCCTCTCTCTCTGCCTGACTCTCTGCCTACTTGTGATCTCTTTCTGTCAAATAAATAAATGAAATCTTTAAAAAAAAAAGAGAGAGAGAGAGTAAAAAAAATAAGTGTTCAAAACATGTGTTTTTTTTTTTTTTTTTTTTTTCCTCCCGTTAGTCCGATGGGCGCCATCCAATGGCTGAGTTCTCGCCGGGCTCTGGAACCCCCTGTGAGATGTGACTGTCACAGCCTTTTGGGGAACCACCTGGCAGATCTCTGCAGGGACATCCCCCAGAACTCCGGGCTCGACACACTGTAACACACTGTAATAAGCCGGGACATGGGTGAGACCCTACAGCGGAGACAGTGCGAGGACCCGCCCTGCCTGGGAGGGAAGGAAGCCACCCACAGTCGCTGGGCAAGGAAGGAATGACCCAATGTCATGCTGAGATCGGGAAAGGTCACCCAGGCAGGTTGGCGAATGAGAAAAGGAAGGCGTTCAGCAGTGTGTAAGCAGCGCGCTACTTCCGTGGGTGTGTGGGTGTGTGTGTGTGTGTGTGTGTGTGTGCCCGCGCGCGCCTTGTTGGGGGGGGGGTGGTTGTTTTGTTTTGTTTTCTTCTTAATCGCAGGACCCAAAAAGAGAAAAGCCTCCTGCTGTCCAAGCCCCGGAGATGCAGAGCTGCAGAGAGCAGCTCACTCACTCCTTCCTGCCCTCCGCCCTGCACCGGGGTCCCCATCACCTAGGGACTGCAGGAGGGCCCTCTTATTGTCCCCCCCCCCGCTCCCCCCCGCGCGCAGGGAGATTAAGACAGGATCCGGGATGGTTTCCGCACACAGGTGGTGAAGAGCAAAGGAGGGGGAGACCTTCTCTCCCAGAGATAAACACCCCTTTCTCCTTCTCCCACTGTTTGTCCTAATCTTCCCAGGAAGCCTGAGAACGAAAGCTTTGCCGTCCCCGTACCACAGAAAGTCTGAAAACACTGAATCTTGGTGAACAATAGGGAGCTTTCAGGGCGGAAGCTGGGGCTGTGGGGCTGCAGGTGCTCCCCTTTGTCCCAGCAGATCCAGCAGGAAGGACGCCGTGGGCGCCCACTGGGGAGGTGGGGGTGCAGCCATCGGAGTCCACCTGTCTCCCTGAGCTCTCGGCCCCCCACCGTGGTGCCCCTGAAGGGCAGCCAGAGGCTGTCCCGGGTGTGCCCATACCTGAGCGCCTCCTGGATGGTCCTGTGGGCCTCGTCGCGGTGCTTCATGCCCACCAGGCAGGCTGCCCACTGCTGCAGGATGCGCCTTTTCTCCACGTTGATGGTGTCGATCTCCGTGCAGGCCTGCGGGGGAGAGTTGGGGTTATGGGAACGTTGGTCCAACCTCATTATGCTCAAGGCCCCAGGAGGATGTCTGAAAAGCCCCGAACGTCCTGGAGAATCTCCTTCCCCTGTGTCACCCTTGCTTTTCTGACCCCGCACCAGCAAAAGGGTAAGTGTGAAAATAATACAGCTGTAAAAATAATACATTGAAACACCCAGCCGAGCCCTGACTCCAGGCCCCAAGGCCCTCAGTGTCAGGGCTCCAGGAGGAGGAGATGAAGGGGAGCCAGCAGGGATGGGCACCCGTCACACCCAGACCCCAGATGCCGGGGGTGGGAGGTGTCGCTGATTCTCGCAGGGAGCACCGTCCACAGGCCGGAGTTTCTGTCACAAGAGATGGGTACAGCCTTGGTGCCTGACACCCCTTCCCGTAGGAGCCTGAGCTGTCGAGAATGACCTGGCAGCTCCGTGGGAGCATCTGCCAGGCCCTGGTGTGTGTGTGTGTGTGTGTCTGGGCACGCGTGTGCATGCGTGTGTGTAGTCATATCTCTATGTTATTCTATAGCCTGGAATTAAAAATTAACATGTTGTACCCAGGTTTCTATGTCAGCAAGGGTCTATTTGATTGTTGGGATATATCCTGACTTTTGTGGCTAATGCCCTGCCCTTGGGACTTTGCTATTAAACCCAACACTGTGTCCCCAGTGAATCACTATTCATTTTGCTTGTGGAGTTTTTAATGCACAACATTTTTGCTTGCATGCTTCTTCAGTAGTTTCCTTGGAATGAGGCCCAGGCGATATTTTGGAAGGGGGCAGGGGAGTCTTCAGGGTGGGGTGGGTGTACGGGAGCCCATGTGTTTTTCTGACCAGCCTGGGGGGGCCAGTCCCCTCTACGCTGGTTCCCTTCTATCAAGGGCTCCTCACCCCGTTCGTTCACGGTGTCTGTGGTGCACCTGCTGTGGGCTGCACGCCGTTCTGGGTACGGGAAGGCAAAGTGAATGGGACATGGGGCCGCCCTGCCTGGCGGAGACACACCCAGCAGCGAGGGGCAGAAGGCATCCAGAGACACGAGCCCGGGCCTATGCCCACGACCGTCCTGTAGGGGCACAGGGCACGGGGTATCTCCTACTGACGTGCATGATCTGTTCCCACCACCGAAGTCACTCGTAGGTGAAAACCTGCTTTCCCGGCGGGTGTCCCGTCTTTGCACTCTGCTGGTGGTGCCCTCAGTCCCCAGGCACCCTGGCGGGCTTGCCTCACCCTCTGCGTGGGTTCCGTTAAGAGGGTCTGTTCTCGGTGTTGGGCTTCCAAAGGCCCCGCAACTCCGGATTTAAAGAATATTTTTCTCGTATTTTCTTCCAGTACATGTTCCCCATTTACATTCGTAATCCCATCTGGAATTCATTTTCGTGTCTGGTATGAGGAAAAGATTTAATTTTTCCCCAAATGATGAACCAAAGGTCCCTACTCCGCTGGGCAAGATTCCTGTGTTCCGCACTGACTGACAGTGCACTCAGGTTTCCTGCAAGAATTTGCTCCCTCCGGGGCTCTGCTCGTGGGCCCCAAGGCCCATCCGTCCCAGACTCCAGGCTTCAGAACGGGTGACATTTAGCGGGGTACCCTGAGGATGACCCACCAGCCCGGGGGTTCTGGGACTCTTCTGGCTTTAGCACAAGCCCCACATCTCAGGACACCCCTCTCTTCCCGGCAAAACCCCTCCCGAGCTTCCCTTTCCCAGACAACTCCTGCCCAGTCCTCCAAATGTATGCTTCGGGTAAAACCTCAGAATCTCTTCGCTAACTAGAAACTGCCTCCTGGGGCGCCTGGGGGGCTCAGTCGTTGAGCATCTGCCTGCAGCTCAGGTCATGAGGATGGAGCCCCACATCACATGGGGCTCCCCGCTCAGCAGGAAGCCTGCTTCTCCCGCTCCCCTCTCCCCGCTTGTGCGCTCTCTCACTGTGTCTCTCTGTCAAATAAATAAATAAAATCTTTTTAAAAAATTAAAAAAATAAAAACTGCCTCTTTTCTTCTGGGATTCTGATCAGAACACATTCTAGATCCCCAGGTTGGAGGGCCCCGGGTGCTTTCCCACGTGGGCCCACGTGGGCCTGTCCATTTCTGCAAGTGTTTTCTTCTCCCCATAAAAGCGGCTTGTGTCCTCCACATTCCCGCACACGGGAGCGCAGGTGGTGACTCACAGACCAACAGAATAGAAAGACACGGCCACCGTTTCCACGTGTAGGCCTCAGCTGCCCTGAGGCCCCTCTGGCCATGCGCCCGCGGCCTGGCTCAGCCTCCCTGGGACACCAGGGGCCTCTCCTGGGAGGATCCAGCTGACAAGCAGACCCAGGTGTCCGGCCTCCCGGGCTGCCACCGGCCGTGCAGAAGAGGAACTGCCACGTCCCCCCGTGGGGCAGCCAGACGCCGGGCCGCTTCGGGAGACATGCGGGGAGCCCACGGGCTGAGTGGGGCGCGGGCCAGCCATCCCCTAGACCTGGGGGGTGCGGGGCGGCTCCTACCTCACTCACGGCCTTCCGGAGCACCCGCGTGTCCTCGGCCTGGGCGCAGCTCTGAGCCTCTAGCAGCGCGATCTGCTCCTCCAGCCGGTGCGCTCTGCTGGTGAGCTGGTCCACGTGCAGGTCCTGCGAAGGGGACCGCGTTCCTGTGCGCGCACCTGACGCCCCACCCAGCCCGCGAGCCCCTTGCCCACCAGAGGCGGGGGGGCGGGGCTCCTGGGAAATGGAAGGTTGGGGGGGAGGGGAGGTGGGGAGCAGTGTGGGGGGCAAGGTCACGCGCGGAGGTCACAGAGCACCTGCTGCTTCTTCTCCACCTCCGCCCGCGTCCGCTGCACCTCCGACTTCTTCACCACCTGCTGCATCACGCGGATGTCGTCGCGCACGTCCTGCTCTATGTTCTGCATGTAGAACAGGTGCAGGGCCAGGCCGTCCAGCTCGGTCTGCAGAGCCGCCACTGTGGGGGGAGGGGTGGCGCTCAGTGTCCCACACACGTGGTCTCAGTGCCCAGGGCTCCAGAAGCCCCCCTGCCTGGGAACCTGCGGCTTCCAGACCGCAAAGACCCAGACTCCACCATCACAGCCCTGCAGTCTGGTCGGAGATACACAAGCTTAAGTAACCCCCGTCCAGCCATCGTCAGCAGCCGTTCCAGCGCCCCCCGTGTCTTAGAGGCCCTCCCCGTGTCTGAGGATCTGCTGAGACCCAGGCAGGCCATGAGGCCTCCTGTTACTCTGGTATATTTCTTACCGCGTAGACGTCCTGCATCCTGGGAGGTCACCGCCCAAGGGGGCACTGAGCTCAGCCAGAGCCCCCGCCCGCCCCCGGGACTGAAATGGCCTCGTGGTGGTGCAGGCCGGGAGTGTCAGGGCTGTCCTGGGGGCCAGGCCTCACCGGCACAGCACTGTCCGCTCCCCACTCAGAGCCAGATGGTGGATTTCCCTCCAGCGACAAGCCCAGGAGAGAGGCCTAGGGCGGAACCAGCGCTCCCCACGCCTGGCTCTCGGACCTCCAGCCCCCAGGACTTTGAGAAAACAAGCCCCGCGGCCGCAGAGCTGACTGTTCACCCTCCCACCTGAAACGTGTGGGACTCACGTCAACCCTTCCTCAAGGGCGCCGAGTTCGACCACCTGCTTTTCTTCCGGGTTGGCTGAGTATTGAAAAGTCACTATTCCCAACGCCCGTGTGAGCTTGCAGTAGTATCAGTAGAGCTGAAGCAAGTTTCCCCATTTTCATGACCATGTTTGTCCCTTCTTCAAATCCCTCACTCATGTCCTCGGCCACTCTGCTACTGGGACGTTTGTCTCTCATTGGCGGCTTCTAGGAACTCTTGATGCAGTAAAGGCAGGATGGGCAGAACTTGAAAGGGGCTCCCTTGGCCTTTACGCCCCTGCCGTGAGTCCTGCAATGATGTTGCATTATCTGTCCCAAAGAAAAGTACCGGGTGGGCCTGGCCTAAGCAGGAGAGCCCTTCAAAAGCAGAGAGTGGTGTCCAGCCAGTGGCAAAGAGGACATAAAGGAGATTTGCAGGGTGAAGGGATTTGTGAGAGGGGAATTCTCTGCAAAGTGACTCGAAGAGGGAAAGGGCACAAGGCAAGGGACTTGGGCGGCCTCCAGGAGCTGAGAATGGCCCCTGCTGACAGCCCCCTGAGCGAGCTGACCCTCAGTCCTACAGCTCTGAGGAGTTGAATTCTGCCAACAGCACGAATGGGGCCGGAGTCGGATTTTCCCAGGTATTCCCGAGAGACCCGGACACCAGCACGAGCGCTCAGCTTCGAGATGCCCACGTGGGGGGCCCAGCCGGCCGCATCAGGCCTCTGACCTCGGGCCGCGTGAGTGTGCAGACACACAGGCTCGTGCGGGGCCCCAACGTCTGTGAGAATTTGTTTCCGGGCAACGGAGGAGTAACCCGGAACACATGGAGGTTGTCACAGATGCGAAGGCGGGGTTTGCTCCCAGCTAGTGTTTGTCCTTTAACTTCGTAATGCTTCTTAATAAGTTTTATGTTTCTGCATAAGCAAAAGTGTCCAAGTCCCCTCTCTGGCCTCGTCCTTCACATCACTCTTCCGGAGACCTGCCCAGCCCGACATTAGCAACAGCAGCCCCACGGGCGACCTTACGTGTTCTTCTGATGCTTCTGTGACTTCCTGAAACATTTACTGCAACTGACCTTGTTTTTCGTATGGCGTGAAACGGGGTCTAAGTATGCATTTTTGGATGACCAAACGGTCAAGCAAACACACAGTGGCTTACAGACGCCGTCTGTCCGTTTACTGAACCTGCGGACACGGCCGGATTCCCACGCGAGTTTCGCAGCAGTCTCTGCTCTCCACCTTCTTCCCTGGAGGCTCTGCCCCCTCGGTGCCATTCTGGTGGACTGACACCGTGTTAGGACACCTGATAGGACACTTTCCCTGCAGGTAACTCTCCTTTTCAACTTTTTCTCGGGTAGCCTTGTGCGTTTAATCCTCCAAGTACACTTTTGGACCAATTTGTGGAGGGTGGGGAGCATTTTACGTATTGGTCAGGAATCCTCTCTCGCACACTATGCAAAAACGTCTTTAAAGGAAAGCACGAGAACCGATAACCGGGGTGCTCGGTCGAGGGTCCCGGGACCTGGGGGAGGGGGAGGTGGGAGACTGCCCACCCCGGAGCTCTCGACTTTGGAATGATTACTTCTTGAAAATGAGTAAGTTAATGACTATGTTCAATAAGTTTAAGGTCACCCAAAATACCCTGCCGTGGGCTTTAGGGGGAACGGCACTGCGCGGTGTGCGGACTGGGACTGTATCCTGGGGCTTCCCTGCTGCTGACATGGGAGATTTATTTATTAAAATCTGTTTTATGTCCTTTAGCAAAACTGGGCTGCTGTTCTCTGGAAAAACTCACTCACTTCTTATTAGATCTATCCTAAGTATTTTATGGTCATTATGACCCTGGTGAATGAGGGTTTAAAAAAAAACAATTTAGTTCTTAACTGGGTATCACTGGGATAGGAGAAAATGCTAGATCTGGCATTCAGCTACTTTACCTTCTTTACTGTTTCTAGTACTGTTTTTTTTTTTTTAATTGGTAATCTTGGATCTTCTAGGTAAATGATCATATGATAGAGCATGAGAATTTCGTGTCCCAAATCCTCACCTCATTTACTTTGCCTGCTGGAGACTCCGAGGTTGGGCCCATGGGCTGCTGGCAGCTTCCCCTCTCCCTCCTGATCCTAGCCTGTCCCTTCTCCAGTGGTTCCCACCCAGAACAGCTTTATGGCTCATTTCCGAAAACATTATAAGGAACTTTCCTTCTAACCTAGTTCGGGATCGATGGCAAGTGTTAGCCCACACCCTGAAAATACTTTGTTTCCCCCTCTCCTATAACTTACTAATCAAATGCATTAAATTAGCAGCTTTCCTAATTTCACATGACTCCTGCATCCCACAGGAAAACCCTTCTTGAGAACCAGGTACTTCTCTTTCAATAAATGTGGCCAAACTCTGTTTGCTACTATTTCATTTTGGATTTTTTTGCCTTGCGGGTGGGACGGTTGTGTCGCGTCTGTGTTGGAGGCGTCCACAGCCAGGACCGTACTTGGCGTTGTAACACGTGCCTGGGAAGTTTCCCAGATTTCCCGCCCCCCAGAAGGTTGGGCAGCATGGGGGCGTCTGTTCTTGTCTCGGTTAGCAGGGGGACGCGTCCGTAACCAGCAAGCTGGTGGCTTCAGGGAAATCGAAGTCTGACGACGTTTTCAGTTTCTTCAATGAGGAACCCAGTCCCCGGCGCGGCCGTCTTGAAATGAAGAGCGACAGTCCCTCTGAATCGTGTTCACCCCCTGGGATGCTCCTTGACGGACAGCCCGTCTGTTCCTCGCCCCGTTTGCCCAAGTTGATTGGCGTCTTGGTCATTTCAAAAACGGAGTATTTTTATCTATCAGGTCAACTTACTTCCTTTCTTTTGCACAAGTTTCAGCTATTTTACTTAATTAACTCCCTCCTCCTGCTTTGTTTGGTTTCTTTGCCCCTTTTCAGCCTCTGGAGGGGATGTTTGGTTTCCCATCTTGCTAATGAGGACTACACGCGGTGTGGGGTTTCATCCGAGCAGCGCCGACCCTGTCGTTTATGTTTGTACCTGTGATTCTCGGCCCCGAATGCACATTAGAATAATCTGGAAGGTTTCAAAAAACAAAAACAAAACCAAGAAGATGTCTGCCTCTCTCCAGAAGCCTGGCTCCACTGAGGGGTGCTGGCGTGGACCACGTGGGGGGCCGTGTCCTCTTTGGGCCAGTCTAAATTCTGTCCCCGCAGAGCCCACGATTCTTTATTGCTTTTGCATGAATGTCGGGTTCTTCTTTTCTCAGTATTTTTTGTTGATTTGGTGCCCATCAGGGAGGGTGCTTGATAAAGGAGCTCTCAGCCCGACTCAGTCAATCCGGAAAGTTCTGCATTGCTCGGGGTCTGAAATGCCTCTTTGCAGCCACACATTGGGTGTCCGTGTGGTTCTGTTTTCTCCCGGATCTGTGTAGGTCGTTTTTCCCCATTGTGGTAACCGCATGCAGCGGATAAACCAACTTGGAGCAAAAAAGCCCCACAGACTGAAATATTCACAGCAGAGTGAGCAAAATGGAGGTTCACGGGGCCGAGAGCCCGGCCCGTGCAGGGGTGGGGGTGTTTGAGGAGGAAAAGCCCTATTGCCCCATCTGGTCCCAAGCCTCCAGGTCTTGCCGGCATCGACCACACAGCGGACCACCGCTGCCACCGGGCTGCCGCCATCCCCTGGGCCACTGGCTGGCTTGGGTAAGACGCTGTGCTTGGGGTTGGCCTCACTCCTGTGTTCCGCTTATTTAAACCCTGCCCACGCCCTGCCGCCTGCCAGCCTCTGCCCCTTTTGTCTCCGTCCACTTTCTGAGCTGCTTGGCCCGATCAGGTGCCTTTCAAGACATCGCTGCCTTCTCTCCCTGAAGGGCTGGGAGCTCCCCGAGGTGGGAGGACGGGACCACACCGTGTTTTCTGGATGCCCCGTGACGGCACACAGGGATGCCTTTCGGGGATGAGCTCCCCGTGGGGGCGTGATCCAGGCGGCTGGAGAGGGCACCCAGGGACACGGGTCTGCGCGGGACCCCCAGCCTTACGCTTTTTGCGCTCGTTGTCGGCGGCCTCACAGGTCCTGGTGTGGAGCAGGCGCGCGCTCTGCAGCTCCTCCTCCCTCCGCCGCCGGGCGCAGGCCGCCACCGAGTGCAGGTCGTGGCTCTTCTCCAGCTGCATCTGCAGCCGCGCCAGGTGCTGCTGGACCCCATAGAGCTCCATGCCCAGCTCCTGCCGCTGCACTCGGCTTTGCTTGGTGGCCACGCTCTGCGGCGGGGAGAGAACCGGGTCACGGGAGGGAGGCGCACAACCGCGCGGGCAGCCGGACGGGCGCTACGCACCAGCTCCTGGAGCTCCAGCTTCAGACTCTCTATCTGGCGGTTGAGGTGGTTCTTCAGCGCGGCCTGGAACCTCACCATCAGGGGCTGAAACGACAGAGAAGCGAGCCTGGTGACCCGCCCGCCCAGGCAGGGCCCCGCCTAAGCTGCCAGAGCTCTCCCGGGGCACAGAGGACTTCCGGGCTGGGGGCGCCCCACTTCTGCCCAGGACATGCGCTGGCAGCCCTAGACTAAGGGACCCCGAGGTCCTGTCCCAGGTGCCGAAGGCCTGAGTGCGCATTTTCGCACTACGGCAGAGTGAGCTGCGGCGGTGGTCCTGGTTTCTCCCCGGGGTGAGAGGGTGAGGCGAGCACGGTCGGAGCTCCGGAGCTCCGAGCAACAGCCCATCTTTCCCACCGGGAGCATCCCAGGGAGCACCCGGCTTTCCTAAAGGGCTCAGCCCATCAGGATGCACCTTCCCCGCTTTCCGGAGCGGGGAGGGGGGGCAGCGGCGTGGGACCTCACAAGCTGGGGTGCACCCCAAGCAGGGGCTCGGAACCAGGGTGACTGCGCCCCCACCCAGCCTCCTGGATGTCTGCAGACATTTCTGGCTTCACGGCTAAGGCGCAGGGGCTCTCCTGGCATCTGGCGGGCGGAGCCAGGGTCCTGCGCAGGACAGCCCGGCCCCAGAGAGTGACCAGGTCCCATGTCAGCAGTGCCAATGCTGAGGACTGCTGAATCTGGGTGAATGAATGGAAAGGTGGAGGCAGTTCACAGAGCGGTTTTGTCCAGTGGGTGAGAGTGGCGCGGGGCAGGGGGCTGGGCGTGGGGCGCGGGGACAGCGGCCAGCTCAGCAGCGGGTCGGGGGGCATCTCTGGTCATGCTCCGCATCAGGGCACTAGCAGGGTGGGGAACACGTGCTTACGTGGTCGGGGTCCAGAACCACCAGCTGCTGTCCGTCTTCCTCGGCCTCGTCACTCCACTCCGACTCCGTTCTCTCCAGGGTCCCCTCTTCGCCGGTGCTCAGCTGCTGGATCCGGTCCAGGAAGGCGGGGACGGCCCCTCTCTGGGGTTGTGCACCGGGCGCCTCTGGGGGGACACCTGGGGGCACAGCGAGCACTACTGAGGCGTTAATGCAGTGGCTAATGAGGCCACTCTGCTGGTGCTGTCCGGGGACGCTGGTTTCCAACCTCGGGCAACACCACAGAAAAGAAAAAGACAAGACGTCGCATGGGTTAGGGCTCGGACGTGGGCTCACAGCGTCTTCCATTCTGAATCTTCTAGTCGTCGGTTTAACATGTTCCACAGAAAGGGTCGCATTTCAAAGGTGATGCATATGACCTTTGCTATATTCCAAGAAGGAAATCTGTTTTGTAGATACTTTTTAGACAGAAATAGTGAAGAGGAAGGTGACTTCTTACTGATGGGCTACACTGATTTTATTTCTTTAATGGGAAACAGTTGATGAGATTGAAAAGAATATCAGTAAGGCTCTAGTTCCAGCTTTCCAATCCGCTGCAGCTGGAGAGATCCTGTTCTGGGTTGTTTTTTTTTTAACTAAAGATTTTATTTATTTACTTGAAGGAGAGAGAGCACGAGAGGGGAGTGGGTCAGAGGGAGAAGCAGATTCCCTGCTGAGCAGGGAGCCCGATGTGGGACTCGACCTGAGGACTCCAGGATCATGACCTGAGCTGAAGGCAGTCGCTTAACTAACTGAGCCACCCAGGTGCCCTGATCCTGTTCTGTTTTTAACTCATTCGGGTGTGCACTGTCCTCACGTCGCTGTGAGTGGTGGGAAGCTTTATTGGTTGGACCATCCATGCTTGTGTATCATGAGGAATAAGAAACATCCTGGTCTATTTTCCCACGTTCACAACACGGGGATACGGGATGGGGTGTGCCGTGCAACCGTGGAGACTCAGCAAACATGCAGGCTCAGGGGTGTTGATGCCGAGCCCCCCTGTGAGACCGGGAGGCAGGGAGGGGTGGCATTGGGGGCTGTGGTCTGGGATGCCATCGGCTCTCTCAGTCAAGGTCTGGTTCTGCTGTGTACTTGGGTAGGTCACTAAACGACTCTTAGGGTCTTTGTAAAATAGGAGAACGGTTCCTCCCTCATTGGGTTACTGTAAGGGTTAAGTGAGAGGAGACAGAGCGAATGTTCCGTAAACATTATCCCTACCTGTTAATGACAGTTCTATCTTTCAGCTCGCAGCCGAATGGGAAGCGAGGTAGCAGACGATGAAGGAGTGGTACCCCCTGCCCAGACGGGGAGGGAAGGGGCTCATCCCGTGGGCAGGACAGTCCCCGGCGCGGTACCTGGCTCCCGCAGGCAGGACTCCTCCGTGCTCACGAGCAGCTCCTCCGAGTCCGAGGACGTGATGCTGCTTCCCTGGCTCAGTCGGAGGTGGTGTCGCACCCCCAGAGGAAACACTTCCTGCTCCAGCCCTTCACTGGTCTTTTTCTAGAACAAGAACGACCAAACCTAAATCAACGAGGCCTTAATCAGGACCGAAAAGTTATTTGATTTTGATCGTTCAAACTTCAACATCACTGCCGAAGCAGTACAACTCGGTCGGAGAAGCATCTGCCTCTGGCGCAGGTCCTGATCCCGGGGACCTGGGATGCAGCCCCGCTTCGGGCTCCTGCTCCGTGGTGAGTCTGCTTCTCCCTCTCCCTCTGACGCTTCCCCTGCTTGTGCGCTTGCTCTCGCTCTCCCCCAAATAAATAAATAAAATCTTAAAAAAAAAATAAAGAAAGAAAACCATTCGGATATAAAGATTGTTTGGCTTTTACAAAACAGAAACACCTACCCGCCCCCACCCCACATAATTCGGGGTCGGTCTCTGCCTGTCTTGATCCACAGCAAAGCATCAGTGAGGAAGCATGGGCATGTCGTGCATGGGTGTCTCTACTCCCCAGTGCTGATCTCCCTAAGGATGGTAAGCAACATCTCTGAGCAGCCTCTTTATAAAAGGATGCTGGAAAGCCTCAGCCCCGGGCAAGCACCTCCCCAAAAGGCTGTTTCTACTTCTCCTTTCGCAAAATATTCCAATTTAGGGACATTTTGTGTTTTTTGTTGTTTCGTTTTTTAAGCAGGCTCCCCACCCAGGGTAGAGCCCATCACGGGGCTGGAACTCATGACCCAGAGAACAAGAATGGAGCTGAGGTCAAGGGTCAGACGCGTAACAGACGGAGCCACCTGCGCGCCCCTAGTTTAGGGACATTTTGATAAGAAAATACCTTCTCTTGTTCAAAGTGCCTCTCTCCACTTTAGCTTTAAAAGAGACTCTGGTGATGATTACTGTGGACAGTAGTTACCGCTGGTGGCGATCTGGCCGTGCACGATGCTGTGAGGCAGGTAGCTGTCCCCTCAGTTATCCGAGAGGAAGCAGCCTCACAAAAGATAAAGACCTTGTCTGAAGTTCACACACACGGCCAAGGGCAGGTTCGGGGCTGGGATGCCTCAACCCCCAGCTCCTGCTCTTTCTAATACTTCCTCAGATGCTGCTGCTTCTAGAAACCATCTCTTAGGCAGCCAGAACCATCATGGTAGGACTGGGGACCCGGAGTCCAAAGCCTGCCTCGGGATGTCCAGAAAGGGCTTCTCCTCCTAAGAAATCCATGAGGCTCCCCCACACGCTGAGACACACAGCAGCCCCCCTCTGCAATTCCTGGTCCTTCAGAAGACGGAGCACCAGCCGGGAGGACGGGAAATGGGGCGCTCCCTCAGGCTTGTCTCAGCCCCCCTGGCGGGTCACCTTTGGAAACTATTTCCCAGTGAGTTTTCTAGAAATGATACCCAAGGATGGAAATTAGGTTTATAGCTCAAGAAGTGACCTACACTTCCAATCTCCTGGACATCGCACAAGGTGAAGACCATTGTTATTGGAGCTTAATTAGCGGTTGTTAGATCATGTTACTTTCTGAAGTTATGAACTCTTTGGGCTCACCATGTGGGGTGGGATCGTGGCTTTGTGGTTCAGGATGGTGGGTTCGGAGGAAGAGCAACCGTTACAGCTGTGTGACTCTGGGCAGGGAATCCGTCCACCCGAGTCCTCATCTGGACATGGGGGTGATCAGCACCCTCCCCAGAGGGTTGTTGTCAGTGTCACTGGGACGGAATGTCAAGGGCAAAGGCATGTCCAGACCAGAGTCAAAGATGGAGGAACGTAACCCTACTGCTTGCTTTCTTTCCAGGACAACTCAAACCTGCAGCCAGCAAGGAGGGCCGGGGCTGGCCTAATGTGGGGTGAGGAGGCTGGGGTTCAGAAGCCATCCCTGTGTGAAGTCGTTACCGCACAGGTGACAGGCCTGGGCCTGATGACAAGAGTCCCCACCGAGGACAGCCTGGCACAGAGTCAGAGCCCAAATATTTGGGGGCTGGCTTGGGTGGGGTTGGCCCAACAGGGACCAGGGCAGCCCGGTGTGGGGGTGTCTAGGTTCAGGTGTGGTGAGGAGAGTCCACTTGGGGGTGGAGAAATGCAGTGGAGGTTCCATCTGGGGGACTGATCAAATTACTAAATGTGTTAGGGAGAATGGGACCAGCCTTCTCATTGTTGGAAAAAGGACTTGGAAATATGGAAGGGGAGGACACTGAGAGGAACGCACTCGGCGGTGAGCTGTGTTAGAGTGGGGTTGGCGTGAGATGTGTGTGTGTGGTATGTACGGTGTGTGTGGTGTGTGGTGTGTGTGTGTGCACGCGTGCGTGGCATGGATGATACCGAGAGAGCCTGGGGACGCTGACGTCTTAGTGGTGGTGAGATTACCTACCTACTCAAATCATGACTTCTAAATTTTATTTTCCATGAAAAGAAACCAGGCTTCTGGAGAAGTGTCTGATTCTAGGGCTGGTGGTCTGTGCCAAGAATGAGAAAACGTTCCAAGGACGACAGCAGTTAAAACAAAGAATGACTCCAGTTGTGTCAGAAGGACACAAAGACCAATTTAGATGGGCTCTCATTGGCCATACTGGGGATGATTTCTATTCAGTGTTGTACTAGAAGTTCTAGCCAGTGTAAGAAGGCAAGAAAAAGATATGAAGGGCATCCAGATTGGAGAGGAAGAAGTTAAACCCCCTTTATTCACAGAGACCATGATGATCTTTGTGAAAAATCCTACAATTCTACAAAAAACAAACAAACAAAAAAGAGCTACCAGCACTAACAAGGGTGTCTAGCAGTGTCACTGAATATAAGACCAATATACAAAATTAGTTCTATTTCTACATACAGCATGGCACTCTGTACAAGACAGCGGCCAACAACTGGAAGCCATTTCCAACAGCATCAAAAGTAAAAATAGTCAGGAATAAATCTGACCCAAGATGGGTCCAAACACATGCTGAGAGGAAGACAAACTCCTAACAATATGGTGGTGGTTTGTTGTGATTTTTTCCCTTCCTTTGAAACACTCACTTTTCCTATCTTAAACCAAGAGAGCACCTTCCCACCCGCATGCGGGTGAAGGGCAACTTCCCAGTGGAGAAGGTGGGCTCTTCTCACCCAAGGGTTCAACAGCCTCATTGGTAATGGGACAAATGACATTCAGCACACCACCTCATAGGACATAAGGAGGAGAACCAGCCTCCCTCTGGGACTCAATGATCATACGATCCCAAGGGAGCATAACCCAGATCGCATCAAGAGGAAAACCAGGCAAATCCAACCTGAGAACCACCTTCAAGATGGCTGGCTGGTGACCTTTAGAAGTGCCAAGGTCACTGAAGTCAAGGAAAGATTATGACCTAAGAGATGGGACGGCTAAAGGCAACATGTGATTTGGAACTGTATGTCTGCTATAAAAGGACCCGTGGTGAATGAGACCTGAGGGTTATTCGGTAATGCAGTGAAATTTCCTGATTTTAATAGTGATATTTTGGGGTTGATTGTGGGAAGCATTCTGGAAGCATAACTTATTCTCCAAGGCTTAAAAAAATAAAACAGGTCTTCCAATCACACTTCAACTGTTCTATAAGCCCATGCTTGTTTAAAAATAATTAAAAAAAGGAATATTATAAGATCATACCTCCTGTCATCATAATCATGATTACCCAGAATTGCATTGCCCCATATGGAAACCACCAGCAACAGGTAGTTATATAAATTAAAATTAATTACAATCCCCATTAAAAATTCAGTTCCTCCTTCTCCCAGGCCACATTTCAAGTGCTCTGTAGCCCCTTGGCACTGGTGGCTACCATGTTGGACAGCAAAGATGCATTTCCATCACCATGGAAAGTTTCACTGGACGGCGGTGCTCTGGAGACCAGAAGCCTGGTTGCCCTGATGCGGAATGTTCCCGACCTTGGGTCTGGGGGACACCAAAGAAAGGTCCAGAAACTCTTGGCATTCAAAAGTGGGTCCTGAGACCTAAGTTTGCTGAGAAATTTCTAATAGGGATTGCAATTTGTTTCTATGATGTGCCTTGTTTTGTTAAAACAGTAACATAACGCTACAGGACCACAAAACCACAAAGACGATCAAACACTTTCATAAAATCGACCTCAGGGTCACTCACCGATTTGCTGGCCCGGGCTCCAGAAGCATCCAGGCCTACTGGCTCGGAGGAGTCTACTACCTGCCGGGATGGCTGCGTGGAGATGTCCCTCAAGTCTCTGGATTCCGATGGGCGGGTGGCTTCTCTGTCTTCCGGAACACCTTCCCCGCTTACATGCTCATGCCAGGAGCTGGGGCCCGTGTCCTCTTCGGGCACCTCCCCAGCACCCTCTTCTGAAGGAGCCAGATCTAAGGAACTGACTCTCACTTCAGGGGATGGGGCTTCCATATCAGACTCGAATTCCCCTTCAGATTCAAATTCCCCTTCAGATTCAAATTCGACTTCATCCCCTTCAAATTCGAATTCCTCTTCCCTTTCTCCTTCTCCATCAATTTCCACTTCTTCAGCTTCCACCTCCCCCTCAGCTTCGATTTCCCCCTCAATTTCAATTTCTCCTTCACTTGTGACTTCCCCAGGGGCCGTGATTTCCTCTTCAGAGAGCTCTGTGGCACTAGCAGCCTCATCAGTGTTTTGGTCACTGGTCTTCCCGGTGGGTGATACCTGGAGATTTGTGGCAGGAAAAAGAAAAACCAGGAAACACAGTCAAAGGCTCCTGTGAAGTTCTGTTCGTAACTGCGCAATCACACTGGTGGGGAACTAGCATCCGCACACGTCCGTGTCCCCGGGAGAGTCTGCTCCGCGTTCTGTCTGCTCTCTACAGTGTTTGTAAGGTTCTGCACCCTTCCTTGAGGAACTCGGGTTCTGAAACCCTGGGGTGATCATAGTAGGGAACGTGGGACAACCCAGCGAGCCACCAGCCCTTAAGAATGGGGAGAGGAAAACGAGTTTCTCTGCCAAGGGACTGAGTCTGCTTTGGGCAAGGTACAGGATCACGGTGCAGTTTTCTTGAGCAGCTCTTATCTCCTTAACCCCCAGTAAAGACAAGCCCAGCACAGCCTGCCCCACGGGGAACTTTACCCTGTCGCCTTCATGATTCCCGGCCTCCCCGCCTTCAACAGCTGACTTGCTTTCCTGCTGAGACCTAGGGGCAGAAATACAGTTTAAGAGTTTCAAAGAACAGTGTTCTTTCTCTTGGCATTGATTATCTCCCGGTGTCTGTCTGTACTATTATGGACTTGTTGATTATCTGCCTCCCCTCTGGGCTGTTGGCTGTGTGTCACCAACCCCAGCACTAGATCATGCTTGTCATGTGGAGGGAGCACAGGCCACACAAGAGTTGTTCCATGAATGAATGAAATGATGGAAACATTCAGAGAACAGCATCGGTACATTGTAACAGAAAAGTAACCTGAAATATACTTAAGCATACTTTCCCCAGCCCCATGGGGCAAAGAAACACAGTGTAAGAGAAAGTGGCACAAACCGGACAAAGAAGTACAAGAATGTCATGATTTACATTCTTACAATTATTTTTTTCCAATTAAAAATACAAGCTTTCCTTTCTCTTTTCTTTTTCTTTCTTTCTTTTTTTTTTTTTTTAAGTCAAAGTGATACAGAAATGTGTGACACAGACAATGAAAATCCTCCCGGACTTTCCCTCCCGTTCTCAAGGTAACTACTAGTAATAAAAGAGACTTAAGGGTATCTTCTTGCAAATATTTTTCTACACATTTAAACACACACACAATTAGAGGTCACCCTCTACATACTGTTTTCCATTTAGTGTTTTCGTTTAAGGTAACCTGGACCTCTTTCCATGTCAGTATATACAAACCTATCTTTAAAAAAAAAAGGAAACACCGCGGAAACGTCTAAGGTAAAAGGTCCAGTTCCTCAAAAGAGTTTCTGTCCACGGCCCCGCCCCCCCTCCTGGAGGCCTGGCGGTGGCAGGGGAGGTTGGGGTCCCCGCGGTCAGGAAGCCCCCCGGGGATCCTCCGCGCGCAGAGGGACCCCGCGCAGCCCCCGGCCCCCGCGCTTCTGCTGGTCTACAAGTACGGGAACTCTCGCAGGCGCCGCCGGGCATCGTGGTTGCCATGGTTACTGCGGGCCGAGCGAGCCGGGTTTCGGGAGCCCAGCGGCCCGAGCGCGGGGAGAGAGTGAGAGGACGGGAGCGGACAAAGGGACGGGAGATGAGGAAGGGCGCGCAGGGCTGGGGGTGGCCGGGGAGGCGGGAAAGGCCGGCAGGGCGGGGACGGACCGGGCCGAGGCGCGGGGGCAAGGGCGAGAGGGCAAGGGGGAGGCGTGGAGGCCTCTTGGATGCCCGCGACCCCCGCCCCGCTTACCCGCCGTCCTGGTCACCCGGCTCCGCCATCTCCCGTTGCTAGGCGACGCCGTCAACATCCGGCGGGCGGGGACCACGCGCCGGGCAGACGCGGGCGGCGCGGCCTCTGTGCCCGGGCTGCGCGCTGGAAACGCGGAGCAGCTTCCTACGTCAATTCATTAAACACTAACACAGTCTCCCGTCTCTGAGTCCGAGCTCTGTCCCGCTGGCTCAGGTCCGTAAAGGACAGCCGTGTCCACGAGCGTCCAGCCAACAACTCCGATGCCCCAGGGACAGCGCCCGGCACCCGGGGACCCGCGGCCGCTCCGCGCCCCGAAGGTGGCAGGCGGAGGTGGGGGCGCGAGGGGCCCCGGAGCACGCTGCATCTAGGGGCTGCCTAGGGTGGGGGCGGTCCCAGCCCCGTGCCCGCCCGTCCATCTCCAGACCTGGGGGGCTCCTCCGCGGGGACGGAGAAGGGATGCTCAGTGGCTTTTTTGTGGGTGATGATCCCTTCTTACCTCCAAATAGGAAACACAAATGGAGAGGGCGGGACAGAGAGGGGAGCGCACACGTGAAGCGTCCCAGGGGTCCTGTGTTCCCTGCGGGGGAGGCCGGGCGGCGGCTGCCATCCGAGCCCAAGTCCCGGGACCCGGTATTAGGACGTCCGGGCACGGAGGACTTGGTCCGAGGCGAAAGGTGACTGGGGCAGCGTAGGGGCGAACCAAGAGGTTGGAGGGGGAGGGCTCGGCGGGGAATGGGGTTGGGCCCGGGGCGGGGTTGGGGTCCGGGTTGGGAGGGGTCTGGGCTGGGCCGGTTGGGCAGGGTCGGGTCCGGGTCCGGGTTGCGGTCCGGGTTGGATCAGGGGCCGGGTTAGGCCCGAGGCCGGTTTGGGGTCGGGATGGGCCCGGGTCCGGGTTGGAGTCACGGCGGCGCTAGGCGCCGGGTGGGCCTGGAGGCCGGTTTAGGGGCCGGCTTAGGGTCGGGGCGGGCCGAGGCGGGCCGGGGCGGGCCCGGTGGGGCCGGGGGCGGGCCGGGGGCCGGGCCTCGCCGCGCGTCCCCGCCCCGCCGCGCCTCACTGGCGGCGGCGGCGGCGGCGGCGGCGGCGGCGGCGGCGGCTCCGGGACCCGCCGCGAATCCGGCCCCCGCTGCGGGACCCGGGTGGGTATCGGGGCCCGGGAGGGGACCGCGCGGGCGGGGGCCGAGAGCCGGGGGTGGGGAGCGGGCGGCGCCCCCTCCGCGGGGACGGAGCCGGGGCGCGCGCGGGGCGCTGGGCCTGGCGCGGCGGGGCCCGGGAGGAGCCGGGGTCCGGCCGCAGGCGCGGGAGGCGCGGGACCCGGGCGCGAGCGGGACGGCGTGGAAGCCCTGCGGCTCGCGCAGACGCGCCCGGGACCCCCTCCGCGGCGGGTGCGGGCGCCCGGGCCGGGAGCGGACCTGATCCGGGGAGACGCCGTGCCCGCCTGCGTGGAGCCGTGGACCCGAGAACTTGCGGTCTTTGTCTTGCTGGATCGTCAGAGCACGCGAGGGAGAACTTGGAGGGGCCGCCGCGTGCGGACGCGGCCCCCGAAGTGCGCCTCCCGGCCCAGCGGCGCGCTCCCGGCCTTGCGGGGCCTTGGGGTCGGCGGTCTGGCTGGAGGAACCGCGTGTCAGGAAACGCATGTCCCCCAGGCCCGGGCTCTTCCCCCTTGTTTCACTTAAAAAAAGAAAGAAAGAAAGAGTAGAAAAAAGGAGAAGGGAAAAAAAATAGGCAATTTAAGATGGCTAAATATACGCTCAGGAGCCCTGCCAGAAGCCGGTGGATTTGAAATCCTGTTATCCCACACTTGGAAGCTGGTGTCGTATGTTGGCCACGATCTAGTTCAGATTCTCTTCCGAGATGGAGAACGACATAGCGAGTTCTGATGCCCGCTCGGAAGTTTGTCCTCCTGCCCCACCAGGTTCCTAGGAGGAGTGGGACTGGTTGCTCCCTGTCCCTCACAGGCGGCCCCTCCCACACTGGTCTTACCAATCTTGTTTTGTTTTGTTTTGTTTTACCACTGGAAGGCCCAAGTTCTTGCATCCGGAAGGAGGGGAGACACGGTTCTCAGAAACGGCCATGTGGGGTGGGTGCAGAAGACCAGAGCCCAGAGGTCCGTTCCCAGTCTGCCAATGGGTGGATGAGAGAACTTTTAAGAATCTGTGTTGTCAGGTTTAGAAATTCCTCGGTTGAAATATTAATTGATGAGTGACTCCTGAAGGCTTTGAAGAACCACGGAAACTTTTGCAAAGAAAGGATTATTGAAGCGCTCTTGGCTGGTAGTAGTAACTGGGGAGTTGAGCAGCTGCCCCGGGTTGGTACCGGGAGGTGGGGGGATGCTGAGTGCCGTTATTACATGTTCTGTGGCACTTATTGGCGTGTGGCGTGTTGATGGTGGGCAAAATCTCGACATGGCAGGCAAAAGTTCTTCTCAAGGGAGTTTTAAAACCCTCCGGTGATGATGGTTGCTGTGTATATACTTTCTGATTATTACTCATGAACTCACTTAGCCCCCAGAACAAGCCCATAAAGTCAGGAGTGAGGTTATCCCCATAACAGAGGGGAACCCTGGGCCTTAGGGAGGTGTTCCCCAAGTTCATGCCCCGAGGACAGAACCAGGTTTGTGCATCCTCGGGCTCAGGACGCTGCAGCCCCAGAAACGGCTGTGCGCGCTGCCTCCTCCCTTGGAAGGGGTGCCTGCTGCTCGCACGCACACGCTCTTCCCTACCCCTCTTTTTACAGACGGGAGAACACGGTTCGTTCTGCCCGATGAGTCACAAAAAAGCAAGGGAGTGGGAACTAATCCCGTGTCACCACCAGCGGCTAGCATCCATTCTCTTTCGTGCAGAAAGAGCCTCCCGCAGCCTCGGATAAAGATATCTGAGAAGTCAGCCGTTGGGTTTCCGGAGCCTACCTGCTCACACAGGTCTCTCAGCCCTGGTTTGGGGTGCCTCGGTGCCGTGGCTAAAGTGTGGCCCCCAAAGTGAACTGCTGGGTTCAGACGCCAGCCCTGGTACACGGTACCGACTGCATTCCTCTGTGCCTTAGCCTCTCAGTCTGTGCCGTGAAGATCGTTGTACCCACGTCACGGGCAATGGTCATCCCGAAGACCTAGTGCCTGGCGCATACTAAGCATTATACTTTGTAACAAAATGTTATCGACCATCCGTTGGATTGTTCACAGTGAGCAAATTGGTAAAAACATTTTGATGTTGTTTAATTCCTCGTGTGGTCCATCAGGCGGAAGCGGATCTGTACAGCCCTGGAGTTGGCCGTGTATGTATAGTGACACTCTTCACTTCGTAACTTCTCGGGGCGCTGGGTCCCACAGGCTGTTCCCCGGGACCAGGGCGCCCAGGCTGTCTGCAACACAGACTCAGCTCGAGATTTATCCACCGCCCCCTCCTCCCCAGCGGTGGGACCCCGAATTTCTCACAGGCCTGAATCTTCTCGTGTAAGATTAGCCACGTAGTTTCACACCGTGGGGACAGCGTGGGGAGGACAGGCTTGCGGCTGCACAGTGAGGCAAGTGTAGCAGCTGGGGCCCGGGTGGGTTTTACTGATAAACATTGTATTTCTACAAAACTGGTGGCCGTCGATGAGCCTGGGGCACAGGCTTGAAAGCCGGAGTCTGCAGCCTCCCCTCCCCCCAGATTCAGGGCAATAGTCTGGGAGATCTTTTTCCTTTCACTTCAGTGGTGTGTGTGTGTGTGTGTGTGTGTGTGTGTGTGTGTTTAAGGGTTTTTATTTACTCATGAGAGACAGAGAGAGAGAGGCAGAGGGGGAAGCAGACTCCCTGCTGAGCCGGGAGCCCCAGGCGGGACTCGATCCCAGGACCCTGAGATCATGTCCTGAGCTGAAGGCACGTTCTTCCCTGACTGAGCCACCCAGGCACCCAGGGGTGGTGGTTTTTTGTTTTTTTGGTTTTTTTTTCTTTTTTTTTTTTTTTTTGCTGTTGACCACCTGTGCGTCCTTGGGCACTGGGTCTTGGGTCACTAAGAAATCTGTTTTGATGAGCTGTCCTGTGATGTCCGACTTGGAGCATATCTTTTACTGTGTCTTCTGACCTGATAGAGGCCTCAGGGAGGAGCATGGTCTGGCCGCTTAAAGACTCAGTGAGATGCTCCCCAAGCCCTCACCCAGCGGGGTGGTGGTGTGCCCTGCTCTTGCTGAGCCTCGGACGGCCAGTCTGTCCAGGTGTTTAAAGGTGACACACGTGAGGAGCCACCCGGAGGGGCCCACCTGGCCGCAGGTGCACAGGCGCGGCGTCTGTGTCTTCTCCCTGCTCTCTCTGGGTCGGTCGGGGCAGGAACCACCGCGGTAGCCCACGTCGGTCCTAGTTTGTGCGCTTGGCTTTACGTGCTGGTTTTCCGTCCTGAGTGACCCGGAATGCACGGGTCTGGTAAATTGGTCGTTCTACCTCTGTCTTTCCGAAATTGGGGCCAAGGGCGTACGTAACAGAAGTCATTTTACACTTTCATTTGTCAAGTTCTGTAACTAAAATCTTAGGGGAACCATAGAGACGTCACGTGAGGTGCACCTAACCCACCGTTGGGTCGCTGGGTGGCTTCCTGGCTGGGTTTGCACCTTTCCTTGCTTTTTGGGGTCCAGTCCTTCCTTGTTCCTCAATCCTGGCTCATGTCTAAGGTCAGTTTCATCTCCCAGGCCCTACTTTCCTGGCTTTTTGGGGAGGAAATAGTGTTTTGGTATTTGCTGTCAAGGGGCGCAAGCAGCAGGTGGCCTCCCGAGTGAGAGGCAGAGGCCTTGGGGTTTTCCAGGCAGTAGGTGATAATCAAAGTGACAGCTGGGCAGCCGAAAGAGGGAAGTCACAGCGAAGCTGGCCATCCACTCCCCCTCCTGTTTCTGTGACTATCTTGTCCTTACGGCCTCTCAAAGGTCCTTTCCCAGATGGCAGTTGGTCCAGGCTTCCTGCCCTGGGGCTTCTGCCCTATACTACGTTCCTTCCTTTTATTTTATTTTATTTTTAAGATTTTATTTATTTATTTGTCAGAGAGAGAGAGAGAGAGAGAGAGAGCGCAAAGTAGGCAGAGAGGCAGGCAGAGGTAGAGAGAGAAGCAGGCTCCCCGCTGAGCAAGGAGCCCCATGCGGGACTCGATCCCAGGACCCTGAGACGATGACCCGAGTCAAAGGCAGAGGCTTAACCCACTGAGCCACCCAGGCATCCCTGTTCCTTCATTTTAAATACAAGCTGATCATCTTGTCCTCCCTTGTAGGCAGAGGCCCCGCCCACAGTGACCCTGTTTTTGGGTGACGGTCTTCTCCATGGGCATGTGAACGTGACGTATGTGTCGGGAAGACCCTTCTCTTCCACGACGGTTCCGTAACATGAAGGGGAGCACCGCAGGGAGGACGGGCCGTGTTAGCCCACAGGTCTCTTGTCCGCACAATGAGACTTGGAAGACCCAGCTTCCCCAAATCGTGTACCCCAAGGATTGGGTTCTGAGCCCGTCTACCTGCGGGGTGTAGATCCCCCTCTGAACTGCAGAGCTGGGGCTTCCGGGAAGGACCGCGGCACACATGCCTGGGAGAGAGGGCTGGGGTCTCCTTGGACCGGTGTTAGCAGCAGACGTTGTGTGGGAGGAACATGATCCTTGTTTTTGTGTGTCCGGCTCCTGGTTAAATAGCATCGCCTGTTCCCTGCTCTGCGTTGATCTGGCTTTGGGAGCAAAGCAGGGGAACCGGTTCCTGCCAGCGCCGTGGCAGGGCCTGTTGCTTCTAGCGGTGTGCCCGTGCCGGGTTCGGGGCTGGGTCATCCCCTGTGGGCTCCTTCCCATCACATGTTCCCTAACGTGTCCAGTGGCCCTCCACCCCTCCCTGTCTCCCCGCGCGGCGGTGAGCAGCTGTCAGGATGGCTGTGGGCTCAAGCCTCCGGTCCGCAGGACCAGGCAGCCCTGGGACTCGCCGGGACCGCGCTCGCCCTGCCGACAGCTGCATCCCACTGAGCCAGGTGGGGCCGAGGCAGGTGCACCGCACAGAGCAGCGAGTGGGAGAAGTCAAGCTCCCGCTTCTTAGAGTGGCTGCCGGCTGCCCCATCTGTCTGGTCTTCATAGGGAGGTTCCAGGAGAGAACTTTGCACCTTTGCTCCTATTTGCTTTTCTGGTTGGCAAATGATGGGGCCCCTTTATGCCAGGACAGGAAACCAGGGCTCTGGGTGGAGGAGGACGCCAAGGGCAGGCCCTGGCATGAGTTCGCCCTTTCCTCCCATCTGTCCTGCTGCTCCCACGTGGACATGGGGGCCCATGTCCTCCTCTTTTCTGGCTCTAGGCCTGGGGTCCCCATCATATTGTCTAAAAGGTGGTCGCCCTGCATAGGCATTTGACAGTTGGGAGGTGAGTTAGAAGTCCATGCTTTCCTGTGTCTTTGCCGTGGCATGGTCAGCGGCAGAACGGTTTCCAAAGATGTCTGTGTCCAAATCCTGGGAACCTGGGACTCAGTTAGGGTACGTGGCATTAAGGTTGCTCGCTCATCAGCCATCCTAGAGATGGAGAGATTGTCCTGGGTTATCCAGTGGGACCAGTGTCATCCCAGGGTCCTTAAAAGCAGAAGAAGGGGAAAGACAGCGTCAGAGCCATGTGCTGGGGTGGGGGTGGGGGGAACCAGACTGGGCACCAGTAGCTTTGAA